TCGACTTTATGTTGATGATATACACTACCTTGCACTGACGAGTGGCCAAACAGCCCGAAACCGGTCTGCAAGTGTGTTCCAATAATTGAAAATCTATTGCGGCAGTTGTATCGCCAACAGCATATGCAGGAATAACTTCAGTGAAGAATCCTGCACTGACACCTGTCGGATATAATCCAACGCCCTTCGTGGTATTAGCCAGGGGAGTAGTTGTTTTCTGATAGGTGTCAGTCCATTAACCTACTGTGTAGGGTGTTGAGATTGGCCTGAACGAATTGTTCTTTTAGATGATTTGATTTACAGCCAGTCTTCAAGCCATCTTTTTGTTAACATTTTTCAGTCGGTCGTATTTGGGGACACAAGCCAGTTTGAGAAGGAAAAAATTAAACATCTAATGTGGAGGGCGTGTTTTTTATCAACCCCATTATTTTGAAGGACTGAAAATTCAGTGTTCAGTATACCATTTCTGTGATAACAGTTTTCACTCGGACATAATTGATGACAATTCACAGTTTGGGAAGCGAACTATTCTACTCAAGCGATGGGAGTTCATTTTTCTGTGACACCAATAATTTTCTGAAAATTACCTATTCAATGAATCATTTTTCTGATGAATTTTTCACTTGGTCATAAATTCCACCAGTTGTGACCTAAAAGTGTTTTATATCTATTACATTCACGTCAATGTCTCCTCGTCATTATAATACATATTATAAAAGCTTCATGCAGTATAATGATATTTTCAAGTTTGAAGTCGATTCTAAGAGGAAATAATCATGTTAAAAATATTGGTTGCCAAATAAGCGATCTATATGAATCAACATTCTACTAGTTGTGTGGTGTAAATCGAACTCGAGAGTGGGGGCGGGCGCTAGATATGGACACTTGAGTCCAACGCTAACTTCAAGCAAGCCCACAAGGGTCGTCAATACCTGACACGATAAAACAAGTACTTTTATGTAGCATCCTTTTCTCCTACAAACTGAAATAAAACTACCGTCTGCGTACAATTGAGAGTTTACCACGATCATGAATTTTAAAATTGAATTGGGAATACCCCTGTCGAATTTTTTGCATATTGAAATATTTCGCATATCGAAATTGAATATGACAGTGACTTTCAAAACTACTCGGTCACTTCAACAAGTGTTGGGTAACCTGAAAGATAAAATGTGAGAGATGGTGAGCTGTGAGAATTGCGATAGAAAATATGTTGGTCAAACTGAACGCAATACAAAAGCTCGCTATGAAGAACATGTTTCACATATTCGATTTCATAGACTAGAAAAGTCCAGTATTGCTCAACAAGCCAGAGAGATCAGTTTTTCCCAATGAAAGTAATCTAAAGCGAGTTGGATTGCTGGGATTATTCTGTAGTGCTGGTACATTTATATTTTGGCAGCATGTAGAAGTTGGGGCATATTTTTGTCGTTTCATCGAAAAAGATTTTTTTCTATATCGAATGGAGTTGGTGTGAAAATGCTTGGTCACATGCCTCAATGTCTCTAGAACTGACGAATCTCACACCAGAAACAACTTTTGAGTTATCTTAATTGATAATTCATGTAAACGTAGGTATTTCCATGTATTATGTATCAATTGTACGAAAATAAAACTTTGAATCACTCATATCAAATTTTACGCAATCTCCTCGAGTATAAATTGTGAGCATCAATGATATACACTATTTAATAAAATTGAGTGAATTCACAACCATGCATTTGACCGCTTCAGTATTTTTTTTGGTAATAATTGTCATGTACGTCCTATTTATGTTTTTGAAGAGAAGGAAATATCGTGGTAAGTTAATTTTTTTAAATAGGTCACATAACGAATTGAAAATCTAATTTTATTCAGTGAACAGCTCATTTCAAATCCTTAGATTTTTATTTTATGGTAGTGATGTTTGTGTTGATTGTAGAGATAAATCGAAAGTGGGATAGTGTACCGGTAAATAGTGTATCAGGTCGGCTGAAGACAAGAGAGACCCACTATCAGCAACAGGGGTGTATCGCATACCCTGCACTTATGGGAAGGTATACATCGGAACCACTAAAAGATCCATGGGAACAAGGATGAAGTAGGATGAAAGAAACTGTAGACTAGGCCAAACAGACAAGTCGGATGTGGCGTAACACGCACTCAGTGAAGGAAAACATGGGATTCTGTTTGAAAACACGGAACTCATTGCCCCCAACCAGGGTGTATCGCATACCCTGCACTTATGGGAAGGTATACATCGGAACCACTAAAAGATCCATGGGAGCAAGGATGAAGAAGGATGAAAGAAACTGTAGACTAGGCCAAACAGACAAGTCGGATGTGGCGTAACACGCACTCAGTGAAGGAAAACATGGGATTCTGTTTGAAAACACGGAATTCATTGCCCCCAACCAGGGATACCATTATCCACTGGTACGGTAGGCAATAGATATCCACAAACACATGGATAATTTCAACAAAAAAGAAGAAGCTGTGTACCTCAACCGATTATGGAATTCCATTCTCTAACAAGTTCAAGAACAGCAAACGGCATGACGGTAGTCAGGAAAGGGTCGACGAATGTTATCTAATCCCAATTTACAGGTATTAGCACACCAAAGTACCTGGGTCAAACTAAATTCACCTTACGCAACCGTAATATCCAGTCATCGAAGATTACTGAAGATTTATTTATTCATTCAAAATTTGGGATACAAACAGGTCAATACCAATAGAAGCATCCATTAATAGTAGTGGTTACAGAGATACTCGATGTCAGAAGATACAAAAAAAAATTAATGAATTAATTAATTTAGCATCATTTTTGCTATGTGTTGATTATTCTTTTCATAGATATTTCAAAGGAATTCAACACAATGGAGAAAACATCTACGCTACTACAGTATTTTTTGAAAGAATCACATATTCTAGTAATTCTGGAGTTTTTGCTCAAATTTGTGTTGAAATTCGGACTGGCAAGTAATTTTCTGTTTCTATTGTTCCTTTGAGGAACGTGATAAAAAAATCATTGATACTATTTTGATTGAGTCATGAAAGTTTGTTTTAATTTCATAAATGAGAACTAAGTCAGTTGTTATTCTTCGTTGTTCTAGAAGCTGTATTTTGTAATGAGACTGAATTTCGCTAATGCCAAGTGTTACATAAGTCTTCGTTATTTTGAAATGCAAGAACCTTACAAATCTGTTCTGGAGTCTTTCTAATCCTAATTTATGTGTGATATAATGTGGGTTCCATATGACACTTCCAAAACTAAGTTTACTGTAAACAAATGTATAGTAAATATATTTGATTGCTGCCTCGTTTTGGAAGTCTTTGCATATTCTGTAGAAAAATCCAAAGGTTTTGCTACAGGAATTCATTACATAATCCAACTGGGGATTGAAAGTCATTTTTGTATCAAAATAGATTCCAAGATCTTCAATTCGGTCTACTCTGTTAATAATATAATTGCCCAGGGAGTATTGAAAATGTATCGGTATGTTGTTTCTACAAAAAGATATACATGCACATTTATCAGTTAAGTTTCAATTTTTCGAGGTAACAGTTTTCTAAAAAAGCATTGAGGTCTTCTTGAATCTTTGAGCAATTTCGAATCGTCGTTACTTCTCCGAAAATATTCAAGTCATCAGTATATAATAGTACTTGTGAATGTTTGAAGCAATCTTTCAAATCATTTTCAAATACTGGAAACATTAACGGACCCAGATGTGAACCTTGAGGGACTCCCGAGGTTACCACAAATGGAGTAGATCTGTAGCCAATTACGTCGATAATTTATTACCACAAATGGAGCCAATTACGTCGATAATTTATTACTGATTTTCTATTACCAGAGTTTCAATAAATCGGAACTAGGAGAGCAATTTTCCAAACCTCTGAAACAGCACTAGACTGCATGGATTTGTTGAATAAGATACTCAAGGCATAACATAGACCAGTTTTCAACGAAGTATTCTTCACATCGAGTGACTTCATTTTCTCTTATATGATTTCTGGAGTGAGCTCTATTGAATTTAATAGATTATTATTGCTGAACTGGAGAGGAAAATGATAGGTTTGCTGATAGGTCTCGTAAACGCTGAGAAAATATGTAGCAAATAGGTACAAACCTATTTNAATTTTCCATGAGTTCTATATCACCGTTTTTATATATAGGTGTAACTAAAGACACCTTCAGTTGTTCTGGGAATATGCCAAATTTCAAAGAGTTGTTTACGATATACGTGAGTATTTCTTTCATGTTAGGAATATTTTCTTTGACTAATGCTGAAGGTATACCATCATCCCCGCTACTTTGTTTATTCTTAATCTTGCGTGATAAATTAATTAAGTCTTCCATAGACAAAGGTTTCAAAAAAATTGACTGGTTGTTTTCATTTATATTACACTGAAATGGTACATCTGGGATATTTCTTATTATATTGGGTACAGTATTCGTTAGGAACAGATTGTATTCTTCTGCAACCTCTTGTGGTTTCCCTTTTATTCGACAATGAGAAATTTTATTCTTACCTATAAGTTCATTGCAAAAGCTCTACATGCATTTAGTTTTGTTATCTGTACGTTGCAGTTTTTTATGGTACGTATCTTTTTTGGCTTTAACTAACAACTCGTTATATTTCGATTTAGCAATATTATACTGATCTTTGAAATTTGGATTATTCCCAGACAAAACTAGCAATACATCAAGATTATGTTTACACTGGCTCAGTTCTTCATTATCATCGATATATACATGTTTGTGGGTGTATGGTTTAGTTTTTATGTCTTACTGTCTTCCTCAAGGTGTATGCTAGTTCTCAATCTGGCAATGAATTGTGATAGAGATTTCTTGATTAACTTGGGTTAGGTATATTATAATGCTTAATATTTTTGACTATTCTATCTAAGTATCGCTATGAAATGTAAGATGTCCATTTTTTTTCACGGTCAAGCTTTTATCATGTGCAGTGAATTTGTGAACATAGGAAAATATAAATGAATTATGTTTTTTCCAGGTCAAGATCAAAACAGTGCAAGTCAGCCTAATTCCACTCTTAGTCCAGAGATCTTCTATATTCATGTTCTGGAATCAGGTAATTACTTAAGTTTTTACAATATATTACCGCAAAATCAGCTCCAAACCCGTGAGTTGATAAGGATGGTTTGAAATTCAACATTTATTTTCTGTTTTCCACTTTCAATATAAGTGGAAAGTTTTCATCGTCGGATTTGGAAAGAGTATAAATGTTATAATAGAGGCCTTGAGAAATGATTTGAGTGAAATATTCACTTGCCTCAATTTCAAGATTCAATTTCAATAAGTTTTTACACATTGGAATTTTCAAGAGACTTTTTCAAGAGACATTCAAATGATAAGAATTTGTTAAGGAGAAAACATTGATTCTATCGATTGAATAATGAACAGAAAAATACATATCGCAATGTAACAATTGATTTTTATCAAATTGTTCATCATGAAATGAATAACAAAATTCAATTTCATTTGTTTCGACGTCATTCTTTTCTCTCAATGATAAAATTGATTATTCCTTTGCTGTTTTCGTAAATCAAAATGCAAAAGAATACAATGCGTAAAGTACATGTGAAATAAAAAACATTATTTCAAAAATCCTCTTTGTTCTACTTTCTACATATGTGTGGATCTCTTGAATACGCCAAATCGTTCTTGAGGATTCCTGTTTTTTTTAAATGAAAATGGCGTAACGGTTTTTCTAAACATTTCCCTTGATGATCAATGCCCTTTTGCATTCGTTCGAACCATTTTTCAATGTAGTTTTTCCATTCCTCTTGAGACACCTCCAAAACATGGTTTTTGAACGCTTCAACTGCTTCTTTGGCGCCCGTAAATCGTTAACCACGCAGTTCACCTTTGATATTCAGGAATAAGAAGAAGTCATTGGGGGCCAAATCAGGACTGTACGGAGGATGAGTTATCAATTCGATGTTTTGACTGCTCAAAAATTCACCCATTTGAAGAGATGTGTGAGAGCTCGCGTTGACATGATGGAGAATGATTCGTCTTCGGTGGTTAGTTTTACGAATTTCTCCGAAGACTTCCGGCGAACAAATGGTCGTGTACTACTCTGAAAGGACGGTTGTACGTTGCTCGAACAGAATAATGGCCACATGACCTATTCGTCCGAAGAAGCAGGCTATTATTTGCTCCGCTGTGCTTCTTCCTGGAACAGCTTTTGTTGCTGTTTTGTTTTCGGCTCATACGGATATATCCATGACTCGTCATCTGTCACGAATTGAAGCACCACTGTCGAACTTTATATAATTTTCTCACACCTCTTGACGGGAGAAGGAAATATTAAGAGCAGGTATTTGTTGGTTCACAGATGGATCACACCTTCCGGTTCTGGTGCAGGTGTTTTCAGTCGCAGACCTAGGACAGAGATATCAATCTGCCTAGGAACCTATGCGACTGTATTTCAAGCGGACATTCACGCTATAGAATTGTGTGCGGAGAGATTGGAAGAATCCAACCTCATGCACAAGTCAATGAACATATTCTCGGACAGTTAAGCGGCGTTGGAAGCTCTTGGTTCCTACCGAACAACGTCTAAATTGGTAGCAAATTGTCGAAAACGACTCTGCTCGATAAGAAGACTAAACAGAGTGTCTCTGGTCTGGATTCCTGGCCATACTGGTCTGCAAGGCAATGAGGCTGCTGAGTCACTTGCAAACAAGGGTGCTGCAAGCAGCTTCATTGGACCAGAACCTATCATTGGCATTGGCAAAGATTGAACACCTGGATGGCAAGAAGATTTATGGACTTTTGGCAGCATCTTCCAGGATTGGCTCACTCTAAGGGGTTTATTCGCCCTTCGAACCTTGATATCAAATAGTTGTTGGACTACAGTAGGGATTAACTACGATGTCTAACAGGCCTTCTTACTGTCATTTGGTGCCTGCACTGCTGGGGACCGAATCAGGTTTTTAGAGTTCAGCAGAGACGTACTCTTGCCATCTGACCTGAAAGACCACTCACCATACAAAATAATCGGCTTCGTTAAGAAGCTGGATTTGTTTGGTCGAGTATGAACAGGTGTGAGCCACAACAAACCCTTGCGGGTTGCTGTGAAGGTCGAATAGACCCATTCCCTTTCCTAAACGAACACCACTTAACACGAGGCTTTTTCTGAGCGATCGATAAATTATGGGGTATACAACGAGAACATTTTTTTTACAACTTAGTTTTCATGCAAAATCGAATGTATTGTAATGTATTATACAAGAATGCCTCTAGCTCACAATATGTCACATCAATGTTTTGTGGCACAACAACCGATTTTGGATAACCTTCACGGAACTCGTCAGCGACCGATCTAACGACCACGATTGAACTCACTACACCAGCAATATACTGTGATTTTTGATGGTGCGCCAAAGAATTGGGTTCATTGACACATTCTTATTGAAATCAATCACGTCTATATTTGTGAAAAACAATCCCACGAAAACCTTCTCTTGAAATTTCCATTTTTTGGTCAAATTGATTTTCCTAATCCACTGTAAACAAAACAAATAGCACTTTTACATCAAAACGTTGTAAGTACGTTTGTGCTAAAATATGCCAAACCTAATCATGGTTTTGCCACATTTCACCTGTTGACAATAATGTTGCCAGTTCCCGAAATATAAACAGTCCCCTATCGTATAAGACTTGAACATATATTTATTTTTAGGACCCTATCAGTCGTCGGATCCACTGTCGAGCTCAAAAATTGACATGAAAAATCTTGCTCCTCCACCATACCAACTCGAAGAAACAAGTCCATGCGAATCTTCAGTGGAAAAGCCTCCAAATTATCAGATATCTATTGAATGAACTCATGGTCACAAATTATGGATGTGATTATCTTATCTCCGATATTTAGATCTTCAGAACGCACGAGACAAGGTCAACGAAAAATAATGAATTGTTGGCCATGTGGGTGAATCGAAAAATGTGATTTTATGGTGAACGATGCTCGAAATGTCCAATGAAAATACCGAAATGAATCAGTCTCTTTCGTCATATGTAATATCAGAGACAGATAATTGAAAAGAATGGAATATAGAGTGAAACATATGTAGTCAAATCCAGCATCAAAAGATAGTTCGAAGAGTTGTTTCTATGATAAAACAATTTCTCAAATACATTTTTATTTCATACTAGTTCATTATTGCTCAGTTATCCACTTTATACTATATATGTACTGTACTATAGTTTTCAAATATATAAAACTATCTGTATTGGCAAGTACAACTTTGTTTTTCTTTTATTTGCGGGTTGGCTGTCCTTGTTCATCTTTCACTGCCTGAACCACTATGCATGCTGTTTTTGGCGAGTGCATTGGCTTGGGATGTGGGGGTTGAGCAAACCGGCCATCGGATGCCTGCTTCCACGTACCCCCGCTGGATACGGGAATGACAGAATCACTTGTGATTCTGTTAGTCCCTAACTCAATGGCATCCCAACGATGGCCTAATCCTGAGGTGTGTGTATCCGTGTCGAGAGGATGAATGGCACTGAGTCTATCAGCAGCCTCTACGGAACCTTCGAGATACCAAGCGCCCTCTCGTCGTAGCATCGATCGCCTTGTCACGGTAATGCGGGGCTCTGCCGTGATTGACCTCTTTCCCTAGCTAACAGTGGAACTTTTATGGAGATGAATAATGCCGTTGCCCTCCGTTGTCCTGGCTCGAAAGCCTTTCAACTGGGCATCTTCCCTCTATCCAGCTCCACAATGGAAACCACCTCTTCAAATTAACAGGGAAGAAGTCCCAACTTTATTAAACCAAAAATAATACATTTACAAACACTGCTTTAGAATTACAATAAACTCAAAATGTTCATTCTAATAATTATGTACATTAATATATAATATCTCCAGAAAAAACAAATAATGTAGGTCCACAAGTAATTTGCTTTCTTTTATGCCATTCAGCTCGGTTTAGGAAGATCGTCGCGTCTCCATTGTATCCATAACAGTAGGCTTGCACCTGTAATTCATCCCGCACCACGCTCTTTGCCCGTTTCTATCTGCCACTTGCATTCTACCCCTTTCCTGTTCCAGTCTTCCTTTCCATTTTCTCCAATCAACCTTGTCTCTATGCGTACATCTCTCAAGCACATGATCTGCCGTTTCAGGCTCCCCTTACCTACATGGGCAAGGCACTTCCGATCCCAGGTTGAATCTAGCCAGGTAACCCGGGAAGTTTCCATGCCCTGTTAACAGCTGGATGGCCTTTCTCGACAGATTCAGTGCTTTATACCCGACTGTTCTACAGAACCTGTATAGCAGTCGCCCTGTCATACCGTTGTCCCATTCTTGCTGTCATTCTTCCTTCTGATCATTCATTCTTTCTACTTCCCAGGTAACACGATCCTTATCAGTACCTTTAGTGGCCTTTTCATGCGCCTTTTTATTACCAATGTTATTGTTTCGGTGTCCTTTGCGCCATACTATTTCAGTCCGTGCTCTCCTCTCATTTCTCTCTTCAATCATTCTCTAGATTCTCGCTACTCCTTTATTCCTCACTCGTACTGCTTTCATTCTATCCACCGCTATGGCGGAATCACTGACGATTCTCACTTTTTCATTCATACTCCACATGCTGACCACTCTCTCTATCCCGATCAGTTCAGCTTCATTCACACTGTTTTTTTCCGGGATCCTTTGGTTCCCTAGAACCCACTCGCTCTCGCTCCTTTCATACGCCTAGCCTATGCCCAATCGCCCGTCCTCTCTTCTCGCTCCTGCGTCCACATATACTTCAGTCATTCCCTCGTCCTGCTTCTCCTCCAGCAACATCCCTGGCATCCAGGGAAGTACCTTGTCTATTCCTTTCATCCTATCTTCGATCTTACTTTCCCATACATTCTCCACTCATGGTATCTGACACCGACTTCAATATGAAGCGGGGCTATACCTGAGATCACGCTGAGCGCGGACAGAGTAAAATTCTTCCTGACGCTGAGTGTACAGAGGAGATGACCTCCCTGTAAATTCAGATCAGGAGCAAGTCTACAGAGCTGTGAGCTCTGTAAGCTCTGTAAGCTTGAGCTTACGACTTCAACTGACCTCCCTGTAAATTTAGATCAGAAGCGAGAGCTTCTCAACTCTTCATCTCCTGATCCAATAACTGAACCTCGAAAAAAAAGGTTTAGTTGAGCAGCCAGGAAACGACTGAGTCGTCTCCTCAATAGCGGAGTACCTTATGAAACCGCCTTGCACTAAATTCCAAATGTGAACCTGCTCTTGCCAACTGAGACAGATTCTGCGGCGTACGCAGAATCTGTCTCAGTTGGCAAGAGCAGGTTAACAAACGTTGGCGCTCAAGTGATGATTCACCAAAACCAGAGGCAAAAAAGCCCTGCACGGTTGAATCTAAGGCATCGTCAGGTGTAGCTGACGTGCAAAAACTCTCATATGGGAAGGTTGTCGTTGGTATCAAGGTGGGAATCTTGCACCTTGACTATTCGAATACCTCATTAACGATGAAACAGCATAGCATATACTTTGTGCCTGCCCCTCTGGGGACCGAATCAGGTTTTTAGAGTTCGTCACAGCCGTACTCTTAGCATCTGACCTGAAAGACCACTCACCATACACACTAATTGGCTCCGTTAAGAAGCTGGGTTTACTTGGTCAAGTTTGGACCTAACCTAACCTTCATTTTGGTGTTCTAAAAGTTGTCCCAGTCTCATGAAATCTTGTGTCTACGCCGAAAGTTATTCAAGGGGAGATGTCGCAAAAATCTGTTTTTCTCAATTATCTCGGTTTCTATAGTTCCAATGATGTTAACATTCATTATAAAAATTGTAGAATATAAAATTTGCGACAAATTTTGTTCAATAGTTTTTTCATACGTTTTTGAGTTGAAGGGCGGACAACCAGCGACGCTCAGCCATACTCTCTGTCATACCAACTCAACCGTGAATCCCAATGAATAATACCTCGTAGAAAGTTGTTGAAACACATAATTAATGAATAAATTGTATTTCTATTAATTAGTGTAAATTGTTTCGCTAACACAGCTTCTTCAACAGTGATTTGAATATTAGAAGTTGCTTCTTACGGTAATATTTATATACCACAGGTAACTACAATTACCTAAATATATACAATTTTTATATGCCTGAAGTACCTTCCGTGTTAGGAATCACACGTTAAAAGGTAAGACCTCGTTAGTCCTTAGCTCGCACAAGTTTCTCAACTTCTGAGAGTTGACGTTCGTATGGGGGCGACAGCTGATTAACGGAAAAACAGATTTTAAACAGATTTTAAACAGAATTAAGATTACCTGAAGCATATTACCTCACTTCTACATCAATAACAATACTTCCTTGGTTTTTTTTTACAAAACAAGTTCAATGATGGTGATCTATTCAACTCCAATTGGTTATTCATTAGAATGTTTGAATGTTTAAGTTTTTTAATTTCCATTGCTTCCAAATGATTCCGTTTCAAACCTTCATTTGCGATGTGTAGAATTTCAAACTCTCCGTTAAAAGATATGACTTTCTTCTAAAAGGTGATTTGAATATGTTGAACTTGTTTTCTCATTTACATAGCTCGTATGATGTTCCTGGATTCGATTCCTAAATGTTCTACCAGTTTGACCAATATATACCTTAGGACACGTTCCAGACTTTAATTTATTTACTCCTGATTTCTCGAATTTGGATGTTTTGTCTTCATTATTTTTAACTAACTAACATGTAGTATTCAAATCACTATTGAAGAAGCTATTGGTTAGCGAAACATGTCGTGATCAATTTTTCAAATAAAGTTTGTGGAGATCAAATCGTAAAGTGATGTTTATAAAGTTACTATGGATCTTCATCAAGAACGGCCGAATCAATCAGACAAAAACAGAGTTTGAGTTTGAAAAATGGAAATTTATCAATTAAATTTTGAGTTATTGTGGCATTCTGAAAATTATTCTCTTAATTGAGTCCATTTTTCTTCAACTTACTGCTTTCTTCATTCAAAAACTGAAAATGTTCGCAGTTCATTATTATACATAATTATTAGGTGAGTCATCTTTAATTTTTTGGTTTCTCATCAATACCAGAAGTTTCATCATTTCAATAGATTTTGACACAAGCTTAGTTCATATTTATTTTGTTATCACAAAATTAGTCAGATTTGTTTTCAGTATATATCACGTGTTTTGTGTAATGCTCAGATTCTATACTTTTCGAGTAATTCGAGTTCAGCGGTGTTGTGATTCATCATGAGTGTTTTCAGGAGTTTCTTCAGCAGTATCTTCAAGACATTCATCAATTATCTCCAATGGCTCTGCGTTTCCATTCATCTCTTCTTCCTGAAAAATTAAAATCGGTTTTGAAAATTATTGAAAACCATTGTCTGCTTGAAGTGACTTTAAATCTGTTTACAAAATCAATAACATACTCCTATCCATAATAATAACTGGTGTTCCGTCATAACTAGAAGGAAGAAAAGCATTTTTCCATACCAGAACAAAAACACTGTCTTTCGACGGAAGTTTTGTTAGCATTATGAAAATCTATCAAAGTGGAAATGAAGTATATAAAGGGGACTGTTTAAAAGACAATATGCCAGGGACGGTACAAAAAATTTGCGAGTTCTGTGGGTACAAGATGGAGTAGGGATAAAAAAGTGTTATATACCGAGTGTCATAGGAAAGCAAAATCATGGTTTGACGAACGACTAACAAAGTCGGACAGTCAAGCGGCGTTGCAAGCTCTAGACTCCTATCGAGCAACGTCTAAATTGGTAGCAAATTGCCAAAAATGACTCTCCTCGATAAGAAGACTCAACAGTTTGTCTTTGGTCTGGTTTCCAGGCCATACTGACCTGGAAGGCGACGAGGCTACTGACTACATTGCGAAGGAGAGTGCTGCAAGCAGCTTCATTGGGCTAGAACCTGCTATTGGCATCGCTTTAGACATTGCCAAACAAAGATTGAACACCTGGATAGCAAGAAGATTTATGGACTTTTGGCAGAATCTTCCAGGACTGGCTCACTCCATGGCGTTTATTCATCCTTCGAAGCTTAATACCAAACAGTTGTTGGACATCATATGCAGAGACTCGGACTGTCAGAAGTCCGAGTCTCTGCATCGTCGGAAGCCCGACTGGGTTCATTTGGTCGAGTGTGAATAGATGTGAGCCACAATGAACCTTTGCGGGTTGCGGTGAAGGGTCGAATATACCCACTTACTTTGGACCTAACCTACCCTGACCATAGCTGCCAAACTTTGCTTGATTATTAGAAATATTCATCTTCATTTAGGTATGATTCGAAATTACACCGCATCAACTTAAGATGATTTTCATTGCTGACTATAAAGTAAAAAATTGGAAAGAAAAGCATCGACTCAAATGAATCGTAAATTGAAAAACGACGTATGGAACATCTGAAATCGATCTGGAGGATATGGTGGACGCGTAAGCCATTCGAAGCCCAATTCATGCAATTTTTCAATCGTTTTTATTGATTTGTAACACGGTTAATTGTCTCGAAGAAAAAGCACTTTCTTTTGTTCAAATGGGGTCATTTTTCCGCGACTGTGTCCTTCAAACGCTCCAATGTAGATGGTTTTCTCATTTGATGCTAGCTGATGAAAATTATATCATGCGCGTACCAAAATACTGATAACATAACCTTGCCAGACGACTGTTGCGCCTGTTGCATGCTTTGGCGTCCGCTCACCACGTGCAGTCCACTCAGATGACGATTCTTTTTGATTCCGTAGTAAAATTATGGAGACATGTTTCATTCATTGTCACACGCATAAATTCGGGTTTTTCATGGTGGAACAGTTTCTCAAACACTGCTCAGAATCATCAGTTCGTTGTTGTATTTGGTCGATTATGAGCTCGCGCGGCACCCACTTTGAACACAGCTTTTGCATACACAAATATTCATGCACGATATGTCCTTCAAACAAACGTTAAATACCCGGTACGGACCCGGAACCAGCGACTTATTCCGAGGATATGAGAAGACTATGGTCAAGCTCACCAAAAAAGAATCTCACCTTAGCTTCTTGTGCAGAGCTAGAGACAACAACATCATACCCAAAGGTTTTTTGCTGAAATCGCCAATCCCATGAGAGAGAGCCAACCGCATATTGGAACGCACCAGCCGAGCACTGATAAGGTCTCAAATGAATTATCACCGTTGGAAGAGGTCAACTCTGATGCAGGATGCCACAGAACGCTTTGAAGAATTGAGAAGAGAGACCTTGGAAGAGAATCGTGGACCAATCTTCGCCAAAATTGAAAGCACTTGCTTGAAGATCAGCTAAGACATGGACAATACCCACAACACTAAGTGGGGCATGTTGGTGAGGAAACAATGCCCAAATGCAGAGTGAGAACAGGACGACTATGAAGCCGCCAACGTCATCAACATGAGTTTCCGCCCGCTCACGGACATAGAGGAATCTTTGTTGAGAAAAGGTCTAAACTTCGCCGTTGCACCACTTTGCATCTGTGCCCACATTACCTTCAAACATATGTCCAACACGTTTTTTTGATACCTTTAGAGCATCAGCTGTCTTGATCAATCTTACTTTGCGGCCATCCAAAATTGTTCTGCAGACTTTTTTTATGTTTTTCTTGGTAACAGCATCTTTGGGGAGTCCACTACGTGCATAGTCCTCGTTTAAATTCAGCAAACCACTTTTCAATGGTTGATTTACCGGATGCAGAGTCCGAACAATATTTTTCATGCTAAACCTTGGCTTCAACAGTATTTTTTTTGCCAAAAAGCAATGGTTCATGAACAACACAGCTGAGAAATTTGTTCACATGTCTTTTGAAGGTTAGGGTTAACTAATATTCATATGGAGTCGATACTAGTACATTGATGAACCTGATAGAACAAAGATGCAGAGACAACTCCTCTTTTTTATGCGAATGCTGGAATATTTCATGAAATAGGTGTTATAAAAAAGATGCAGCGGAAAACAATGAGGCCATTGGGCTGCACTGTTTTTTTTGGAAACTTAGCAGAAACAAACAAGTCAGAAGGCTACCGAGTGTTAGAGAAAGGAAATGAAAGGAAAAAAGTTGCCAACAAGAGAAGAAATATAGTTCTGATCTCAGGAGCAAGGAAGATTCTTCTGTTGATGGTGGCAAAAGAGAAGTCAAAAGAAATCTCAGATCACAATTTATACTATGAATAATTCTCAACCATCATTCAAAGATATAAAAACTATTTGAACAGAAGAGGCCGAAAATAATTGGCCTGTCAAAAATACTCTTCATCAAAAATCTGCGCGTTAACCATAACAATCACTGTTTATAGAAAAAATTGGAGCCCTCTAAACTTGATTTCCATAATTTCTCGATGTAATATTGTGAACCATCCAACTTGAATGAATCCAAGAATGATTTTTTGGGATTGTTTCCAGTAGCGAAAGACAAATATTTTTTCGATTTAGTTTATAGTTATTCCAACTTTTCTTAACTTTTTATTTTTTATAACAGAAATTCTATACATATATCTACTCACTATCAACTTCTCGTCATTCATTTTCTCTTTGTAGATCCTATCGAAGAAGTGGCACTGAAAAAGAAAATATAGTTATAATGAATGATCACTATGAAGAGTGTGAATTGTACCAAAATAATTGTATTTTATCATCATATTCAAGAACAAATCTAATCATTCATTCAATTATATCCGAAGCTTGGAATATCATTCATCAAATATGGATATCAAACATTATTCTATTCTATATGAGGGAGATCGGGTTATGGTTTTGAAACTCACCTTGTATAACAAGAAAGTCAGCACGAATAAAACTATGAATCCCAATAATGCAGCCACAATCCACACCCACAAAGGAACTGGTTTCGTGCGTTGAGACGGAATTATCAGAACCATAGAGCTGCTTTGAATCCTGTACAAAATGATTATTAGATACACACTTTTCTATTTATTTTCTGGAAAGGAGTAGAAGAAGTATTTGGGAAGTCATAACAATAGTTTCTGCTAGAAAATTCAGTCAAGTATGAATTGCTGCTCATTCTGCTCAGAGTAAATTTTTTTTCCAATAAATGTATTGAAATATTCCACTGCGGGATGCCTACATAAATAGTTACAAAAACCGTAGAACGTGTGTCACTTTTTCATACTTTCGTAAAGTGTGACAACGAAACTCTCCACAACATAAATGCATATTCAATAAAAAAGTAAACAAATATGAATTTCTTTGGGAAGGTCCTGTAATCAAAAATGAAGTAGGTAAATTAAAAGAGTGGTTTTTAAAACAGATTAGTAAAACATTAGTAGAGGAACAAAGCGACTTCTGGACGACTTCTCAAGGTTGCGCGTCGTTTGTAAGTGTTTCAGAGAGAGACTCCAGTGGATGGAAAAAAGAAATGTGTGACGTGATAGTTGCAGAGAAGGATGGAATGAGTTTCGGAGAGATTCAAACAGCGTGGGCCCCCTTGGGACTCCATTTCACCCCTCGGGCCCGCTTGGGACTACGCATCACCGCTCGGGCCCACTTGGGACTCCGCCTCACCTCTCGGGCTCCCTTGTCACGAGGTCCTAATTGAAAAAAGTGTATCGGTATGAGAATCGAACCCAGGACGTCGGCGTATTGAACGATGCCCTTAGCCTCGACAACAACGTGGAATATTGGAAGTAATTGCAAATAGTGTTGGAATTAAATTACAGTTATATCCATTACTATACCAAAGGTTCCAAACAGGACATCACAAACAAGTTCCAACAATACTTTTTTCAAGTTGGAAAACACTTTTTATGATCAAAAATTTCTAAGTGACTGTATAAAATACGTTCATTTCATAAAAAATGCGTTATTTAGTTCTCACCTCTTGGCGTTGGGAATGAAACCTGTAACCAAGTATCCGATGCCATCCATCATCTGGAGTTGCTCATGATAATGTGCATCTGTAAAAAATTATAAATCAGTTTTCAACTATAATTTTCAGAAAAATTACCAGAGAGATCTTTAAAATTGTATGGCTTCATATATTCATAATTACAAGGCAATATTTTGTCTCGAAACAAAACTACCAGGAACGGTCAATACCAAAGTATTTATATATCCTTCGACGAATGTTATCAAACTATTGCCGAAATAAAACTGCGATTTTCTACGTTGTCAGAATAAGTAAGCAGAATATGGCGCAAATACATGCGTGAGTGTAATCTGAAGGCATACAAAAAATTCTTAGGTGAAAGTGAGGAAGAAATACATATCAATCCCAACAGATTTTGGTCATTTATAAATAATAAATGAGGTAGCTCCAAAATATCACAAGTACTGAATTTTGAAGGTCAATTTCTGGAGGGGCCCTCTAATATCTTTTCAAACAATCGTATACCGTTTCTTCCCCTTTTCAACCAAACTCTGATATTGATAATAATCACTTTCTTGATATGTCAAGCTTCAGCGAAAATCAAGGTCGCTCAAGCCTGAAAACACCACTGGTCCAGATGACATTCGAGCTTTCATCCTGAAAGATTGTGCACTTGTGCTTGCTCGTCTTCTATCTATACTAATTAATATCTGCTCAAGATCGGCTACAATACCAAGGATCTGGAAATCATTAAAAGTCTGTCCCATTTTCAAGAAAGGAGATAGACAAGATATTTCAAATTATCGGCCTATCTCTATTATTTGCAAGTTTGCAAATGTTTTTGAGATTCTGCTGGAGCGAGTTATATATCGGCATGCAAGTTGCAATATAAGTAAAAACCAACACGGTTCTGGCTGTAATCCAACATAGTGCTGAATCTATTGAAAATAGGGCCCAAACTGATGTTATTTACACAGACTTTTCCAAGGCCTTCGACAGGCTTGACCTTGACATTCTACTAAACACACTAGTAGCCTTTGGATTATCTCCATCCTTAATCGCACTCTTTCAGTCCTTCTCTAAGGGATTGTGTTCCACAAGGGTCAAATATAGGACCGTTGCTCTTCAATATCTTCATTAATGCTATTGCAGATGTTATAGATATATATATTTTTTTGTATGCCGATTATCTAAAACTATACTGCCTCGTTGAGAACATAGATGATTGTGTGAAACTCTCAGCAAACGTAGGACGGGTTGTAGAATGTTGTTATCGGAATAACTTGTCGCTAAACCCGGATGTGAGGTCATGTAGTACAGTTCAAAAACGAACATCCTAATCTTTGATTATTCAATAGAAAACGTTTCCCTGGTGAGACCAGAAATACTTATTGATCTTTGACACTGCACTATCATTTGATAGGCATATCAATAATATTGTAACCTCCTCCTGTCGTTTGTACGGATTAATTGCATGTAACAAAAGTGATTTCAAAGAAACTTCGACCTCAAAAACTTTATTCGATGCTTTCATAAGATCAAAGTTAGAATACGAGTCAGTTGTGTGTCGTCCCTTTTATCAATATCATATTGATAGAATAGAAGCAATTCAACGAAAATTTTCAAAACTGCTAAGCCTAAAAACTGATGGCATTTATCCTCCAATAGGAACAACCAACTCTGAATTGTTACGAAAGCATAACTTTTTTAGTCTCGAAAAAAGGCGTGAATATTATAGTGTTGTAATAACCTATAAAATTATCAAAAGCATAGTTGACTGCCCAATATTACTGGAAAAGTTTAATATTTACATTCCTAGAATCTGTTCCAGACACCCGAGTACTTTCTATATATAAACATCTCGCACAAATGTTCTGGAGAATTCTTCGATCCATACCATGTGTAAAGTGACAAATTCTTTTAGCGATAATTTAGATATATTCAGTTGCAAATTGTCAGATGTAATATCCCACTTCCTAAAATAATTTTTTTGTCACCTATAATTAATACAAAATGTGTAGTCTTTATAGTCACTTGTTTGTATTGTTTGTATTGTTCGTAGACTTTACAGTCACTTGTTTGTGATGTATTTATTATAATCTGTTATTTCCTGCTCTGTAATTGGGCTATGTCCTGTAGAGTATTGTATTACAAATCAATAAATAAATAAATAATGCACCTGTTTACTCGTCACTACTTGTTCGTAATCGTATTGTAATTATATTCACTAGACTTGACGATCTGGGACATTTTCTGTTCACAAGATTGAAGAGATCCATGAAAGAACGCTGTGTTTGCGACGATCGGGAACCAAATCGCTGAGAGACCTCAAGGAAATACCAAAAAGTATGTATCAAAAATGTTTCGAGGATTGGGAAAAATGATGGCACAAATGTATATATGAGGAGGACTACTTTGAACGGGACAAAGTAGAAATTGGTGAATAAATAAATATTTTATGAGAAAAATGAAAATTCACTTCATTTTTTGAACAGGCAGTGTAGTCGTATCTGCGGAATATCTCAAAAGTGGATGTTTTATCTAACTGTATTATTTGCTTTCTTGTTCATATTCTTGGAATTTCTCCTGAGTGGTATTTATTCGTCACAAGAAATATAACTAAAAATACAATTCATCAAAGTTAAATCAACACCATCACTTTTCTTCCAAAATACGAGCATGCAAATACAATTCCTGGAAATTATTTTAAATACCAGTAACCAAATCGAAACTGCAATTTAATTGTTATTTTTGGAAAATACTTCAGCTGATTATATAGCCAACACCATCGCCATAAAGTATTTTTATTGAAATTACCTAATAGTTTTGTTTTGGTAGTAACCTTCACGTTGATTTTGGCCAGCTCTGACGGGTACAGATACTCTCCTTCGCATTTTATTTCTAAACAGTTGGAACCTTCTTGGAGACAGTCTAGAACAATAGTTTTATTGAGAGAAGTAGGTACATCCGACTCCAAATTATTGATGTTGTTGAAGACTTCCGTTTGCCTATCAGATTTACAAAAAAATTGGACTCCCTGGGACGTTGCCTAAAAATGACCTAGTATCAGTTTTGGAGAAATATCAAAAGTTTGTGATTTCTTCTTGAAATGACAGTGGACATGAGCGAGGCAAAACTTTCTATTTGTCTCTATCTCTGGAACGAATAATTTGTTTGGACAAAAATTGATCAATAGAGGCATATGCTGTATTTTGGAAAATATACTTGCCTGTGTTACAGGCAGTTCCCACATACGTATGTGCGGTGTAGCCAAGTACAAAGATGTATGTTATATCTCACTGTATTATTTGTTTTCCTACTTTCAATACACTTTAACGTATGGAATTTTGACAATAGTTCAAAATATTAATCAATAAATGTTACCAATTTTTCATTTGGGAGTTTGTGAATATAAAAAGTGGCGATAGGCTGGAAATCGTATTTTACTTGATCAGCTAACCTTGCTGGCTACTGATTTGGACTTTCAGAATAAGTCTCTTTCCATTGTTTCATCGTGAAACCCATGGTTACCAAGTCCATTTCAAAATCTTAGTGTATCTGTTGACGAAGAGGAACACTGAATTTTAAATTATCGAGGTTCCTTCTACCCTCTGTTACTGATAGTAATAAGAACCATTCCAGAATTGACCAAGCAGGACTGGCTAACCAGAATTTCAAAAAAACTCGAAATCTGGAACAATCGTTAGGGGAAATGGTCGATCAGATGAAACCAAAATGTCACGTACCCATGTCAGTTACTCATACGTGTATCAGAAAGAATTACAAATTACGTTCAACATCATCGGAAGGCACAGGGAAATTCGATGCGAAAGTCCAGTGGTAAGTGACACAAGATTTCAATCCTGTTTTTTCAAGAACAAAATACAGGCACTACAGAAAAATCCGCAAGGCGCTCTAAGAACGGTGCATGTGCGAAAGTAGCGATTCACATTGGGTGTGAATGGCTACAGATTAAATCCATTAGGAAAAACGTTATCAGGAAGTTCATTCCACATTAACGCAGTTTTCCAAATGAAGAGTTCTTATTTAATGAATTTCGAGGTGTACTGAGTTGAACCTCAAAACGATGAGCAGCCACAGTCCTTCGTGAATTTCTGATATGTACCGCTTTTGGTGGAATCAAATGTGCCAAGTCACTTGAACACTTCCCGTGAGAGACAAATCCTCAACCTTCCTTCGATGTACCAGGCTATCCAGGTTGCAAGGTTGCTTTTCCAATCAGGCGGATTGCTCTTTTCTGGATGGGATCCAGTAACTTCGGGGTAAGTTTAGGTACAGAGCTTCATAGATGGGGACAATACTTCAAAAAGGTCTGATCTGAGCTTTATAAAGCATCAAAAGTTGCTGGGAAGTGTATAGTTTTCTGGTTCGGAACACTGTTCCAAGCTTTTGAGAAGCAGCCTTTGCAATTCCAGCAACATGCCAAGACATACCTCAACAAATTTATCGAAGCAGAAAGCGGAATTGACTGTCGTGGCATTATTATATCCGATTCGGAGCCATTTATCTTTTTGGAGAAACCCGCTGCCTGGGTTTTTGTGGCATTGAAGTAAACTTGGTTAATTTTACCCCAATTCGAAATCACTTCCAGATCCGATATCTTGGAATCCAGCTGAAATGACGAGACAAGTGTGATATCGTTAGCAAAGCAATATATTGGATTCTTCGTTTTTTCCAATAAATCGTTGATATATGAATGTAGTGAAGTATTGGACAACTCCTTTGGACACCTCCTGGTTGCAGAAAGCTCATGGTTCACATAAAATATCTCAGAAACCACAGATGTTCAGTAGGTTTATATTTGTAATTCCGCACATATATGTTATTTTTGTAACCAGGTATTACCCATTTACACTGAGATCATGGTAGCAAATGAGTCAAAAATACATGTTTGCAATTTGCTTTCTAGAGTGTATTGAGCATTAGAATTGATGAAAAAGGTGGCTACAAAAAATATTGCTTGAATATATTACTGAAAATTACTTGAAAAATGTGAAAATGTTACTCAACCTTATGATAATACTCACTTTTGTTTCAACTACTTCGAATATATCAACACCGTCCATTTGAACCATAGGCATCAACAAGTGAACCTTCATTTTGAAAGGAGATGGTCCTGAGTTACCAACCACAAAAGAGTGCGACGTTTCGATGATGTTTGTTTCATCATCATAATAAACATTTGGTGTTTCAGTTTTTCTGAAATATTAGGAATGATTGTATATGGACTATAATCTAGTTCCATTTTGAATGAAGATGGTTCAACAGTACAGGTATGAATAACAGTTTTGGGATACACTCACCCTTCAATGTATGGAGAATTTTCTTCTACAATAGCTATCGTAGCATTTTTGGCACTATTAGGTTCAAGATTTTCCCCAGTACATTCCACATCGAAACCTATTATTATGTTTTCTGCAGAAGGGTGGTCAGAAATGATATCAAACACTAAATGGAACTAAAAAAAATTGTAACAGAAGTTTTTTTCATAAAAATGTTCAGTGTGTAATATACAGGGCTATTCAGGTTTGAGTCTCTACATGAAGATTTCGTAAATCCACCTAAATCGTGAATTTCTATTTCAAATTGGAAAATATACTCTTGGTTCCGAAAATATTTGGAAAGAACAGGAAAATCTGAAATTCCAATTTTGGGTTTGAAAATATTTTCAAAGATCTATCATTTTTAAGAATCTATATGATTAATTATTTTCATTTCCGTGTAGTGAAAATCCATAAATGTCAGGAATACCAAGTTCAAAGACCTGATGCTATATTTATTCAATAGAAAATGGATTTTACTTTCATACTAACTGTAATGAAATGTTAAAAATTTTTCTGTGATAATATTCTGATAGCCCGTTATATGTGTCTGCGAAGTTTAAAATTATTTCCGATATCTCTATAAATGACAAAAATCCCGTATATCTACAGGACAAAGAGAGTGACAACCAAATTTTTGATACGATTCAACATTAATGAAATATACAATTTTACCGCATCTCAGCAAAGTTTCTATTTGTTACTGTCTACGAGATTTTCATCCAGAGTTTGACTAGCAATCAATATAAAAGACATCAGATTTACTTCGAAAAAACTCACTTTTTTTTCATTTATCAGAGTGGTACTAAATGAACAAGCTAAAGTTGAATTTTCTGAATTGCATTCCTTTTCTCTACGATATTCTACTTCGTCAGGTACTTGCAAAAGAAGTTGACATTGATAACCGGGTTCTCCTTTATTTTTCACAGTTAAAGAAACCTGTACCTGCTTATCTAAACCCAACACAATGCTTGATCTAAAAAGAATGTAGATATTTTTGACTTTAGAAGTAGACTGAAAGATAGGTGGGTCCAAAGTAGACTACTCGACGCTCCACTGCAATACATCCAGCTTTTCATCAGGTCAGTTGATAAGTGTTCAACGAAAAATATGATTTGATCCGCGACGGAGTAGGCACATAGTTTGTGCCCTACTTTTTCATAATTTTCCAAACACAGACGACATGCACTGTCCTCCGACAGTCTGCATATGACGATTCAGATTACAGTGATCTGTGAGTTGACCAAAGTTCCTTATGAAAAATATTCCACTCTAAGGTTGACAGACCATGATAAATTTTGCTCAATCCAGTGAGGAATTTAGCGTCAGTCAGTCACTTCCATCGACAGTTAGCCTACTTCTCACAAATAGCCACACAAATATATAGCTATAGAAGGAAATCCACTGCTAGTATGTGAAGCTCTGGAATTGAATCTGTAGATCTTCTTCTGGAATATAATATATGACAGCCATACTGAGTTACTAAAGAGATTTCAATTCATTGCTCAATATGAGATGCAAGATTCCCTTCTTAATGACCATATGAGGGCATCTGTGAGGCAGTTGTTCCAGATGATACATTCAATTCAGTCTTGCATTTTCTCCCATAAGTTTGTTCCTTCCCATGAGGTAGATTCTGCATCTACTGCTCAAGAATTTGATACAGGGCAGATTCTTAAGGTATTTTTCTCTTGAGGAGGCAATAAATCATTTTCCTGTTGCACATCTCAAGTTTGTTGAACAGGATCAAGGGTTTGAGATCTGGGAAGCTTTTGCTCTTAGTGCGATGTTACAAGTAGGACAATTGAAAACGTTCATTTGATATCTATTTCCAATGTCACCGGATCTTTTGGTTACTTCATGGATCATATAATGTTCCACGATTAGCAAGGAAAATGATGTTCAGTCCGGCAGAATTTCGCATTACTATGAGCGAAGCTCCAAACAAAGTGCTTGTAACCTGGAAATGACCTTCAATAAAAAGACCTCAACAGATTGCCTCTGGTTTGGAGTCCTGGCCAAATTAGCAGCAGAGGAGAATGAGGTGTCAAACAAGCTTACGTACAGGTCACTGTCGTCATCATATGGACTGTAACAGAAGACTGCGTGCCGCCTTTGTTTGGAAGATGATGGAACAGTTAGAATAGACGTGAACCTCGCGGTTTTCAGTGGAGAATTGAGTAGACCCACTCAATCTGTCCCTACCTACTTGTGAAAAGACGATAGTGTCTGAGAGATAATAAAAAGTGAAACACGATTATAACTCACTTGTCCGGTGTCAAATCAAGAGATATCCTCGTTTGACAAATTTGATCGTCTCCACAACCATGAGAAAATACTATCGATTTCTCTATTTTATTTTCTCCAACTCCAAAAACACTGTCAGATAGTTGCGGAATCATCGATATAGTAAACGGAGTTAATGCTGGAGAAGGCTGAAACAGTCCTAATGTTATTTTGGAGAACCTTGTAATATATGGAATAGCTTTTAATACAGAAGAGCAAATGAATCATTTTTTTCCGATTTGATTCTGATATAAAAATGGTGTACGAGAAAAAATTGTTGAATGACAATTGATTGACCGTGAGTTGACTGATTTTATCAACTTGACATAGTCTGACAAATAGTTTGAAACCCTGTGGTTTTATCCACATTGATTATCTGTGTTCAATTCTATGGGTTGTTGATTTGTTTTAGTGCTCAGCGTCTGATGTTCAGCTTACAACGTCAAACATCACCCATACTAATAGTAACTATAATGGAATCTGATCGATTTTCTGATGAATTAGTTTGTCAAGCACGATCAGAAGACTACCTTGGGATGCATGATCTTACCTCGGTCAGTATATCTATTGTTCCACAAGATAGTTTCTCTAAAGATGCTTCAATCGTTCTCACATGAATTCTCTGTCCTTTCACTCTGTAATCCAAAGCAATCGTCAAATTGAAATCGATCGTTTTCAAGTCCTTCACTTTGCTCCTTTGACTGTAATATACACAATATTTAACTTTCATATTGTTGGCATCATTGATCTTCAGAGTCGTTACGTTCGAATGAAGAGACATTTTATAGTCGACCACACTCTTGGTCCTCAAGATGAAGACATTTCCAGTTTTGAAGGCTCCGATCGCTAGATCTGCAATGAGTAAATCTGTTAGCTTTTTGATAATAACGTACTTGAGACTATTTTTTCGCTGGATCATATGATCACCCTCAGAATCCGCTTTAATTACATTTTTTCCACTTCCAAAATTATTATTGAACGATAAATTCAACTTGTCATTCGTAAAATATTAGAATTACCTCACTTGATTGATAACATACCGTTGTGTCCACTTCCATCGATGTCGTTTCCTTTAGACAATCCTACGCCGAAGCCTTTTACATTCACCGAATTACCATTGAATTGTTCTGGTGTCAATCTTTGGGCAAAAGAAGTAATAATGCCTAACCGACTTCCCATGTAAATATACACTGCGCCTGTTCCGTCATCTTCGAAGGGAGCAGAAACAGCAATATCTGGAACAACATGAAATCAAGCATCTTGATCTACGTTTAATCAAAAACAGAATAAGAATGTAAAAAAATATGTTTGAAGTTGATATTGTTGTTGATTAAAGTCCAGTTCACTTCACTTCTCAATTTTTCCAATGACTCCGTGAAGAATCAACCACTTTTCAAATTGTTTCCGTTACAACTAAGTTCTCCTGACTAATACTATGACAACTCACAGGGTTTTGTTATCTTAGGTGATTCGCTTTATTAGATTCAGAGGGTGATCTCGTTACTTTGTTTTTTTCAGCAAACCGTTTCTTCGATTATCCAAATCATCACTCAAAAAAATATATCAGGATATACAACAGGAATTCAGCGAATTCTACAGGAAATTCCCCCTATATAAGCGACAGCAGGAATATTTGTTAATTGTACGTGACAATTCCGGTCTTTTAATTCCTTTAGAAAAAACAAGTTTTAAACCAGTAACTGCAACCGAACTGCAGTTTGTTATTTTAACAGGAAAATAATAATGTAACGAAAACCGGAATATGCTTTACTATTTACAGAATCGTTACACTGACTTAATCGGAATTTTCCAGTCATTTTAATGAACTGCCTTACTTTTACTGGAGCTGTAATTTTGATTTAATAGGAATTTTCTGTTTAATAAACAAACTAGACAGTTGTATTCGACGCTTCGAACCTCAGTTTTTACAAGAATTTCCAGTAGTTTACCCTTAACTAAAACAGGAATTACTTTACTTATACCGGAACTGTAGTGTCGATTCAACAGGAATTTTCCGTTGAATTGAAGAACTTTCCTTTATACATTACAGTACTAGTTAGTTGTATTAGAAGCTTATAACCCGAGCTTTTACAGGAATTTCCTGTAGTTACCTAGTATTTAACTGAAAATTCTTGTATTTTCTATTTAATTACCTGCGTATTTTTGACAGTAATTTCCATCTGTAGTTGACATTTTTTTCCATGGAATTTCACTAGAAGTTTCCAGTTAGTTCTACCGTGGAGCATTGTTGTAATTTAGGGTACTTTCTGTTAGTATTCAAGTGCTATTTTGTTATTTTTTTGTAACACATTCTGTCTTCTGCCCAAAGAGACTTCGCGAATATGTTTCTTGAATTTGGGAGAATTTTACATATATTTATTATACAGTATCTCAACATTATTCCAACGAATCAAAAAACATTCGTTGAATATCAGTATTAAGAGACTCCATAATGAATATAAAGAAAAATTTTCCCTGATTCCGGACACATATTAGCAAATTTCATTCCGAAATTACTGTCTACAAATGCTCTTATTTTGTTCTAGGGGAAGTCAACCACTAATAAAATTTACCCTTTGAATAACGCGAACTTCATACGGCTGTGAAAAATAGGTACTTCACAGGTTTATATGGTTCGCTGTTCTTTGAAAGACTAAAATTAGTTTCAGTTACTCGTTACCTCTAGGGGTGCCGTCTGGTGTATAAAAACAGACTATGTACAATACCCATTAAACAGAGAATGCACTTTTATTATAGGTCGGGTATAAAAAATATGAAATTCAGAATGTTCAAGTCTAGATTTGTTTATTGAAAAAACAATGTTTTTTTTCATAATGAATAGTTATTTCACTTCGATATAATGTGAACAATGTGAAGTTATAAACATGATAAGAAGACAATAATTCTCATAACAAACAAAAAATATCTTCTGCAAGCTTCAGCAGCTCATTCAAATTGGTTTTCATTTAGGGCACTGAGAATGAGTCTATGCGAGTCTTGATGGTACTTAACAACCTTTCCTTCGTCAGGGGAAATGTCCTAGTTAGTGCCTCGGAATGGTCTGGGTATATAACATTTGCTTGTACAGTTGGCAACACTTAATGTTTATTCATTGCTTGACGATTACTTCAATGAACATTGTTTTAGAGACAGACACTTCATAGTCAAAAAATGTGTAATAATAAAATTTACTTACTTCTGAATGTTTCGATGTAATTGGCCAAACCTCTTAGGTAGCCGGCGACATCATCGGCGCTGGCTTCTACTTCCATCGAATCAGTCGATTCACCAATTACTGTATAAATTGTCTCTCCCCCATCTTGGATTTGATCCAAGTCTAATACACTAGGAACCAAATAGTATACATATACAGAATTTGCAGCTCTTAACATAATTATTTTTCTAATGAGTTTCACAATCTCTCCACTTTCCACTCGTCACGTATGCATATCTAATAACCAACACGAATGACGGTTTCCGCGTCGGCGCGTACTGCCCCAGAGTACCGGATTGAATTGTGGGATTCACGGGAATTCTGTTAATCGACGTTCTGAGCTGTTAGAACAGTGGCGTGGATCGTAGAGATAACAGGAATATAATATTAAATGTTTATTGTTTAAGTTTGAAAATGTCCATATAGGACGAAACTGCAGTAACGTTAGTTACAAATAAAAGTGGTAAAAAACATAGAAATTTTCATTTCTTTTTTCATCATGATCTCCTACCACGTAGTAACGGCTACATCCATCAATGTATTAAAATACTGTTAGTTGAACAAGATTTATTCCGGTAGAATAATCTAAATTTATTTAAGGAAACCAAACATTCCTGTTGAATTCAATGTGTCCATACTGTTAGTCGTACAAATTGTGTTGGGTTATATTCACAAAAATATTATATTTCACTAGATATTCCTGTAACATTCACTGTGTTTTATTTCGGTTGCACGTATGGTTCTGACCTACGTATGTTTTACAGTCGTGGCTTGTAAACATAGCAAAATATTATTCTAAATACACAGGAAATATTCCTGATTGATTAAAAGTACCTTATTACTGCTATACTTACCGTTTTTCCTGTTCATAAGACTCAAATCACCTTAACCGGAATCGGCTTGTTGCAAGTACAGATTGTTATCAGAACATTTTTTTTTCTGTTATGGTAGCAATAGTTGCGTTCAAACAACAGGAATTAATTTAACCGGAAATTCCCGATATTCGTTTTTTTCAGTAGGGTTGCTTGAAAAACACTTGGGCTGTCCGTTATATTGAATTGAGAGATAGTGAGAACTACATACCCACAAATAATGCAAATTAAATAAAAGCTTGTTGAAAATAATATTGCAAACAGTTATAGATAGATGGATGGAATGTCTTCCTCACCATTGAAAGAATCAAGATCTATATCTCCCAGAGCAGCAACAGCGGTTCCAAATCTCGCACCAGTCTTTTTCGATCCAACAAGCTTTGCAGTGTTTCTTCCAGCCTGAGGAAGAACCAAAAAAAGTTATCATATATAATAGTTGAAATAATCATGAATTATTATTTTTTCCCAATAAAATTGTAGAATTTTGTTACTTGCTCAAGAAAGGTGTTGAGAATCTAGTTCCGCACAAAATAAACTGATACAAATTTTCGATAAAACCTCTCTTTATAATGCAATAAGCAAAATGTGTAAAAATTGAGTGAGACTTTATATTGAACCCGTAGAATGGAAAAAAGCAATTTGCCACAGCAAACTCTTATCCAGAAGTGAGACAGGCAAAATGGCTTTCAAGATGGTATCATATTGTGACTATTTGTCTCATATCAATTAATTGATTAAGGCATAACCAAATGTCAAATATGTGTATTTTTTCATGGGTTTTATTATGGAATTTTAGAGAGAAAGGGACTTCAAGATGAAATAACTGGTGGAATAAATGTCCTGCCTCGAACATCTTTAAAAAATAGACTAAATTAGACTGGTTGCCTTTGTTTCATGCAGAAGAGAAGTGTAACAAATACTGACACAGGAAGAGACTGACAGCAGAACCCAAATGAAAAACAAGCTAGAAAAGAGGCTTGTACCTGAACAAAGTAGATCCGAGTTATAGTCTGCAGCTTAGATTTTGTCAGGTTCTTACTTTGATTTTCATGAATGTGAGTTTGAGACCTACAGAAAAGAAACTGATCGAATAGATAACCTAAGATATTGATTATTCAAGCTCCCTGGCAGTCAATTTCATTTCAATACTAGGCAAGTTCGTTTGGTAAACCAGCAAGACCTTTGATTTCGAATGTGGTGTTTTTTCTTGCAACGGAATACTTCACTTGAGCCCAACCGAGATCCATGGGATTGAGTTCACAATGACTAGGGAACCAATGCAGAATAATGATATTTTGTTTCTGTGCCATCTCTTCGACTTCATATTTCGTGAAACGAATTCTATTTGAACAAACCATGGACAATACTATAAACAATAGTTCTTTTTCCATCAGAATCACAGGGTTAGGTGCAATGAGGTCTAACATTCGTAGAAAATATTCTTCGCCTGCCTCAACGTTTATGTTTAAAAAAAATCTGTTAAAAATCTGTTTTTCCGTTAATCAGCTGTCGCCCCCATACGAACAACATCTCTCAGAAGTTGAGGAAGTTGTCTTCACGGTAATCGCAAAAATGCTCCGACTAAAACATCGCTCTCAAAACCTCAACCGGAACCTTCCAAGAGGGCTGAATTAATTTAATTGTTTGATTTGTTACTCAATTGATTCACTCTATTGATTTATTACTGATTTAATTCATTATTCAATTTAATTTATTTTTAATATTACTCAATTTCCTACAAATAACCTTATTAACTTTTGTTGTACTTATCTTTTTCAATTCATTTTTCGTAGCTCAATTAATAATAGAGAAAATCAAAGATGGAAGTGTTTAATTTCAAAACTTTTATTTTCAAAACATGCTTTCCATTACATAAATGAGAATTTATCAATTCTTCTACATTTCTCTCCTTCTTAAGTTGTTTATTTCAATGTTTTCCTGGTTTATTCTTCACCCTCAACATCATCGTTCACACTTCTCATTTTTTAACATCCCATCATAAAAAGCTTCAATGGTATAATCAGGGTCAAATTTATTCAATCAGAAAGACAGACTTGCTAGAAATTGCGAAGTCCGAAAAAAATGATAAACATTGAAAGGCTCAATCTCGCAGACTATTGGGCCTACAGAGACCGTTATAGTATCGTATTGTAGCAAATTTTGCCTACTTTGAAAACTTACCAATCAAGTTTTTTAATTTTTAATCGCCAAAATTTGAAAAACCCCGATTTTTTCGCGGTGTTTTCGATTATTGACAAAGTTGCGTCCGGCGCTCGAGATCACAAATTTGGATTATTCATTAGACCAACATCAGAAACTAGTCTGCAAAATTCAGAACTACCGGATTTGACGCATGCTGTGATGTATAAAGTTACTATCATGGGTGCTCACTATATACACACCACTATAAAAAATCTTTTGCGATTTTGTCATGTAGCGACATTGAAAGTTGAAATAAATACATTTTCACAAAATTTCACTCTCCAACCGACTCAGTTATTCAGGTCAGTGGAGAAGCCAGTTGAATGAACGTCACTGTTGAAGAGCTATGAAATAGTTACAGATGTACAGTTACAGATGCTGGAGATATTGAATTTCAAGACATTTTGCAATCTGAAGCATGAGCATACATACATTTTCAAACACGTAAACATAACCCTCCTCGAAAGTTGATCCCTTGCCCATGGGGGCTCCTATGAATAAATCTTCTTCCCCATCATTGTTCACATCCTGACTCAATACAGATGATCCAAAATAAGAACCCACTTCATCTCCATAGAATGTTTTGAACTCTTTATAATTTTTATATATACCAACCTGAAAAAAAATCAATAATTTTTATGATGTATGTATACACATGTATATTAATGGTAGATTTGGGAGCCTTACTCCAAATAGAGTTTGTAGTACTTCTTTTGAAGAGACTCTGTGATTTCTTTTTCAATTCAATTCGGTTTATTGCCCTAAAAAACAATAAATGCCTATAATTAGGGACTATGAAATAAATTCCAAAATTCCTTTTCGCCATAAACCAATATGTAGGGATATATTGAATAATTTCCAGTTAGAAAAATATATATAGAATATAGAGTTATACACAATTATGGAAAAATTACTGAAAAATTACTGACAGAAAAGTACCACTTATCGACCTTTCTTATATTGGCATTTATAGTAAAGCGAATGAATGCTCTACAATTTCATGAAGGGATAAGTGTGTATAGTAACAAACAGATACTTTGAAGGATCAAAGTAAAGTGGCTATTGAAAATAAAAGAAGATGACTGGTGATGTAACCAACGGCCCGTAACGTAAGTAAATAGTCCGTAACGTAAAAATATGGCCAGTAACGTAAACAGATGACCTGTGACGTAAACAAATGGACCGTAACGTAAACAAATGGACCGGAATGTAAGCAAATGTCCCGTAACATATGGTTCGTTCGCTTCAGTATTTTGAGTTCTGCATAATCATTCAAAACGAACAAGACACGAAATAACATTGCATACGTTAGATGTGAAATGTTACAAATGCATACGCGCCTCAAGAATCTTGTTGTGATGTTCAGAAAACTAAGTTAGTTTGTGAATTTCATTTTTGAATGTTAGTGCGACATAATGTTTTCTATATTCTCCAGTGCTAATTGTTGAATATTGATATATAATAGTTTCTGTCAAAAGCAATATATCTACTGAGATCACTTACCATACCTAACAAATGATTGGCTCGCGGAGCACCCCCTATGCTATAAATTTCCTTCCCCACTCTCATACTAGCCACTGAATATCCTGAAATTGTCAAATATCAAATAAGATTACGTTCACTGTACAATAAAAAGTAGTATTTTCAGAATATATTAGAGGCAAGCACTTTTCAATGAATTTGTTCAATGCAAAATACAAGCACTACAGCACCTCAAGCACCTCAAGGTGCTCTCAGAGCAGTGCCTGTGCGAAATATATATTATCAAACAGTGGAGTTCGAGGTGTACTGAGTTGAACCTCAAAACGAAGAGCAGCCACCGTCCGTCGCGTATTTCTGATACAAACCGTTCTTGGTGGAGTCGAACGTGCCAAGTCACTTGAATACTTCTCGTGAAAGTATCTATAGAAGAGAGACAAATCTCCAACCTTTCTTCGATGTTCCAGGCTATCAAGGTTGCACTTGATGTTCGCGCCCCAAACAAGGTGTGTTTGAGGGCAGAGCTCCATACATGAGAACAATACTCCAAAAAAGGTCTGATCTGAGCTTTATAAAGCATCAAAAGTTGCTTAGGTGTGTACAGTTTTCTGCTTCGGAACAGTGTTCTAAGCTTTTGAGGAGCAGCCTTCGCGATTCCAACGACAAGATTATACCAAAACATATAGATGTCCATTTCAACCTCCCAACAAACTTATCCGGTTCGGAAACATTTTTATCTTCTTGGAGGAAACCGATGCCTGGGTTTTTGTGGCATTGACTTGAACCTGGTTACTTTTAAGCCCAATAGAAATCACTTCTAGATCCTCATTAAGATATGCAATCTCCTGCTGACCATATTGCCATATTGATGATTGCTCAAGATGTTGAAGCCTTCCAAATGTTCGAGAATACGGTGGCTTACGACTTTCTCCATGATTTTTGATATCATTGATAGCAAAGCTACTGGTCATTAGTTATTTGAAAGACGTTTCTTGCCCATATTGGAAATAGGCAGAACAATAAGGAAAAAACTCTTTCTTGTAAGACAAGTTGAAAAGTCTGAATAATACTGATGCGAGTTCTTTTGTGCACTTTTTAGGTACGATGACGGGCATTTCATCAGGGCCTTGTTGATATTGAGAGGTTTCAAAATTCGCCTGACTAGACGCTGTCGAAAAGTAATTTTCAACATTGTGGATCCCAGTTTGGAAATAAAGGTGGTACCTTTTCCAGAAAATCGACTGTGGAGAGTAACGCAAATTGTTCTGCTGGAATTGTGGATCTTGTAAAGTTCTAGGATCGAGACCCGTTGGGATTGTCAAACAGTTCATCCCTGATTCTCTGATTGTGAAGTAATTTGCTTGCATTTATCCTGCAGCTGTTGCGAGCATCAACAAACCTAGTTTGGTTTTCGGAACTGGGATTTTGGAGAGAAGAGCTTGCTCGCAATTTTTGTTGAACCAAGGTTTGCCGTTAGGAGGTCGTTTCATTGAAAAAGCAATATATGAATCCATGGATGAGAAAAAATGGAGAATAACTTCCATGACTTCAGAAGCACAAGCGGATGGAACTCTAGAGCTGAAACAAACATCTGATCAGGGCTTAGATTGTGCGGCCTAGATTGTTCCCCAATATTTATAGATAATTCACTCAACACTGAGATGAGTTTGTGGTCAGAAGATCCCAATGGAGACCTTACGGTGACTGTGTAAATTTCTGAATTAGTTGTTAGGTATAGATCCAAAAGACTAGCATATTCTCCATTATGGTCAGGAATCCTGGTTGGCTCATTTATAATCTGAGTTAGTTCGCTGATTCAAAACCCTCAGCTTCGCGACCTTGTTCGTCGTTGATATTTGAAAATGTGGGCCATTCGATCACTTCTTTACCAAAAGAACAACAGCCAATCCGATTCGAACTTTTCCTCAACTTAATGAAACTTGAGCCTAAAAGGGCATATTTGGGATCTAATACCAAACGGCGTTGTTTCGATCTGATATGGGTCTCTTCAGTGATACTCGCTTGGATCACGAATTCAAAATTTTGATTCAGTTATCCTTGAGAAATGTCCTCACGAAGGAAACATAGTATAAACAGCGCTTTTGTGGAACGATTCCATAACTAACCATCCATATTTGAGTTTCCACTTCCTACTCAGTTTTGTCTATCACAAATTTGAAATGAACAGCAACAGATGAAGAGGAACCTGTGATACCTGACCACATTTTTAAAATGATATTTTGCCACTGCACCTCCTGATGTGGTGGTGCAGTGGTGATGTGGAGTTTCCATCCTCCATATCTATTCGCGAAAGAATTTGAAAAACTTTTTGTGGAAAACTGTATGGATATTGATTCAGTTTTACGACATTTGTTCGCTAAATGCTAGAATTTTCGAGTTATTTGTGAAAAAATTCACAATTGGGACATTTAGCTACTTTTCTTTCGCGAAGCTCCAATACTTGAAGTATATTTATCAGGCCACCTCTCTCTTTATCTGTATCAATTTTGGCTTCTACACAATTTTTTCAAATGATTTGGCTTCCGTTGCCTGGACAATCAGGCAGAGTTGCTTCAGTTTCTGTAGAGCGTAATTTACCGTTCCAATATGCTAATCGAGAAACTAACCAAGGTTAGTTTGAACTTTGAGGATCGGGGTGAAACTCGCTTTTTTAACCCTTCGGATTCGCCATTGATTAATTAGTTACTACAAATGGTATTATCTTACTCACCTAATAAGTCCATTCTGTCGTAGATATCTGAATTTTGTGGAATTATTGTAGAATCTTCAGGTTTTGATAACGATTGCGAAACTAAAGCACCTGAAAGTAACATTACATTCATCTTCTCTGAATTTTATATTATATTCTCGTGAAGACTTCTTGATTAAATAATATAGGGTCTTCCATTGAGTACTTCCTATCTTTAAATTTGAATGAAACAAAGTGTGTGTGAGATATCATCGAAACTTTTTATTCGTTTGAAAGACATATTGATGGCATTGTGTGTGGAATATGTAATAACTGCCATTGCGATAGTTACGTAAAATATTATTTCATTCACACAGATCGAGATCGTCATCCGGTTTTTCGAAATCGATACTTTTCCAACAGATTAAGCGTTGAATTTAATTAATGACTGTTGAAATTTGGCGGCATCATGAAATATATGTAATGTTCGGGATAGACTAAATGAACGTATCGTGTTGATGAGTCATAATACTGAGAATGCGAAAATGCAAGCTAAGGGTTTTTGTCTGACCGTATATGTAGATATAGGCGGGCCTGCAAATTTATTTGAAATAAAAACTGACCAATGACTTTGATGAAAAGAAGATATAGGTCTTGAGGAGGAAGAGTCCAGAAAAAATTCGGGAATATTGAACAGATCAGACCAATCAGGGCACAGTTCACGGGATGAGTGTTAGAGACAGTTCCGTAGACTTTGAAATACTTATTAAGGATTTTTGTGGCGCTCCAGAGTGGAGATCGAGAGTGGCGATCGAGGGTGGCAATCGAGAGTTGCGATCGGGAGTTGCGATCGGGAGTTGCGAACGAGACAGTTCCGCGGATTGAACCAAGAAGTTAATTGGCATAAGGGAGTCGTCGCGATCTGATCATCGAGCGATTCGGTAGTATTTAGTCTAGCGTTCTCAGAGGAAATTGATTATTGTGGAATTACGGTAAATCGCGGTTAGTGAGTAAAATGTTCTGTTTTATATGGTGTCACTTAGAAAGGATTAGTATTTCACACGGAGACCGTACCAGAGAGGAGATCAGAATCCATAGTATCGTGAATCAATTTGGATTTTTGCTAACCCCTATGTTGGTTTAGAGAGAAAGAGAGGATGTCATTTCAATTTTGTAATATTTGTATTATTTTTTGTTGTATTTTGGGGACAACATAAGAAGGGTAACGTGTTATGAATCACACGTTACAAGGTAAGACCTCATTAGTCCTTAGCTCGCACAAGTTTCTCAACTTCTGGGAGTTATCGTTCGTATGGGGGCGACAGCTGATTAACGGTGAAACAGATTTTGAACAGATTTTAATGAATCAGATCTTACGTTTCGTCGACGTACGGATATTGGTAGGTCGTTAACTGAACCAGTGGACTGAAATTTATTCACCACATTGCGAAATGTCTTTTCGGTAGGACTATTATGGTAACCGTAAAATGGGGAAAGCGCGCGGTACGTTGCCCGAACAGAACATTCATTTTGATGAAATAATTTTTTCAATTGCAGGTGTTGTTGATGGCTATAACCGTCCATGGTGATTCGAAAAAACCGAACAAATAGATGACAATTAATTGTATTGAAATACAAGTACTATTACCAGTATTCTGAAACATATTCACAGATTATAATTATTAATTGTTTGTTACTGAAAAATAGCATGCTCTCAATTGAACTCAAATTGAAAGGGGGATTTTTTTCGGAAGAGAGCGACAAACAATTTATTGTCTTTCTACTTCTCTATCTCCATATCAAGAAGCATTCAATTTAATAATGACCCCTTTATAACGATGTGTAGATCATATACATTGTTATTCATGATAGTTATTGAAGCTGTGTCTATGGCGTTGAGATCGCATATTTCATAGTATTTTCGAAGTAATTCTACGGCACTCATCAACAATTTCACGTTATAGGTATTTCCACTGGAAAAACTCAAGATGCGACTTATCTGGTGATCATAGAGCGTATTTAATGCAGCCTCTCCTTCCAATCCAGTGCTGTACAAAATGTTGGGATCCACACAATCAAGTGAGGCATAATTTTGAAATTGCTATATCACTTTCTCTGTATGGATTCCAGTATTGATAGAAGAAGCAGAAGAAGGCGAGATTTTTGTCATTTTTATTTAGAAGATTTGCAGCTCTTCAGAAGAATTTTAATAAGGAAATTTTCACGGGTGCCGTAGAACTCTTTTCTGATGAATCTTACCATTCCAATTTTTTATGCCTGGTGCACCGAGAAATGCTCTCCCCAATTCCTGAAATGAAAATTCATATTGAAACCAAGACACTGAAATGAAATATATGAATTACGTTGATTTTTTGGAGAAAACTGTTATACTCACTTGAACATAGTGAACGTCCAGTCCTGCTTGACCAAATGCATTGTTATAATAAACTGTACCATTGGCTTCAATTACATTACCTGTAAAATACCATATTTACGTCAATAAACAATAACAAAGGTGAATTATTAATTTTGCTTTTTGTTACCAAAAGTGGGCAGTAAAATTAATCGAGCCCGTTCAGATTTGGTTTCAGAATTTTCAAGGTATTAGATATAGGTCCGTACTAGTTTTAAAAAATGAGTATAGCGTAACTGTGACCTAATTAAATTGAAAGTTAATGTTATTATGGTTGGAGACTAAACTCAGACTTGCCAACAAAATTATTTAATGCTACAGGTCCTCCAGTTCCCCCAGCAACCCCCTATGACTAATGAAGATGAGATTTGGAATGCTGAATCAGAAACCTTTGTTAAAAGTACACGGTGTTATGACCAGAAGGTACAATAAATAATGGACTAATGGACTTATTGGACCTTCTGGTCATAGCACTGTGTACTTTCAACAAAGGTTTCTAGTTCAGCAGCCCAAATCTCATCGTTATTAGTCGTAGGGGGCTGCTGGTAAACTGAAGGAACTCTAGCACTGAATCAGAAAAAAAATTAGTCCGAAGATGCGTCAATCTCTATAAAACAATTTGAAATTACTCTTCACAATCCGCATTGCTTATTTTAATTCACTTGTCGCAAATTCAAAATGGTCAATTTCGCTAAGCTCATAGCAAAATTATCTCATGGGCTGGAAAGTCCCGGGCCTAAGAAAAAAAACGCGTTTTTTCTCGTTTAAAATTGATCTTATTCATCAACGTTATTCCCATCAAGAGCCACACAATCATTCCAACAAACTCTAACATTTAATAATAATAATAATAATAGGTCTGGAACAATTCGTTCCCCACCCTCAGGCTCATACAAGCTAATAAGCCTGATGTAGTCCTTCTCGAACACCAGACCAAAACGATATTTGTCGTGGAGTTTTCAGCTCCTGGCGAGACGAATATCGTCAGAAAAGAGGAGGAAAAACGGATAAAATATCGAGATTTTCTCTTCGAACTCCGCAGACTCTATCCAGATCACTCTGTGAAGATGGTCGTTCTGATTATTGGAGTCCTTGGTGGAATGATGTCTTCTCTACTCTCGAATCTCAAAATCATACCGGCTTGCCGCACTAAGGCAGAAATCTTAGCCGCACAGATGCAGAAGGCTGTCATTCTTGGCTCACTGCGTTTGCTCAGGGCACATGATTCTCGGACCCAATGATCACTTACCCCGCGGTGTGGGGAGTGGTCATTGGTTGATTATGCTGGCGCGCTCTCCCGAATGTATCGGGGCTTCGGGGGATAGGGCCTGACCAGCGCACACTACGGTGAAAGAAAAATAATAATAGGTCTTTATTCCCATAATGATACAATAAATAAATGTGAACATTTACTGAAACGGGAATGGCTGAAGATCAGTTGGTTGCATCAAATGATTCAACCTCTGTTTTTCATCTTAGGCTTCAATACCAGTTTGGTAGAACGATTTATATTTTGCCTCAAAATAAGCCTAAGTTTCAGCAATAACCTCTTCATTCGAGCGAAATTTTTTACCGATGAGCATTTTTTTGAGGGCTGTGAACAGCCAGTAGTCGCTGGGAGCCAAATCTGGCGAATACGGTGGATGTGGGAGCAATTCAAAGTTCAGTTCATGCCGTTGCCGTTGTTTCGATTGACTTGTGTGTCACGGTGCATTGTCTTGATAAAACAAATTTTTTCTCTACCATATGCGGTGGTTTCTTCGCAATTTCGGCCTTCAAACGCTCTAATAACGTTATATAATATTCACTGTTGATGGTATTTCCCTTCTTAAGATAGTAGAGAATATTACGCCACGCACATCCCAAACTAACAAGGCCATAATCTTTCCAGCCTATCATTATGCTTTCTAGCGCTTTGGACGAGGTTCACCAGTCACTCTCCACTCAGATGACGATCGTTTTGATTCCGAAGTGAAGTATTGGATCCATATATCATCCATTGTCACATATTAATGCAAACATTTTGGTTTTTTGTGTATAAACATGGCCAAACACCGCTCAGAATCAACAAGACGTTCTTGTTTTCGGTCAACAGTGAGCTCGCGTGGCACTCAAATGAACAGAGCTTTCTCATAGTCAAATACTCATGCAATATAAACTCAACACGTTTGATATCTTTACAATGTCAACTAACCCACTCAACTTCACTTTTAGATGATTCTGTTATTTTTATTTTGTGTTATTTTTTATGTTTTCTGGTGATACTGCTTCATTTGGTTGCGTTCTCATAAGGTAGAAGAGCGAACAATGCCATTTGCTACTCATTATTAAATAACTTTGTTCTCTGTAACTGCTGTTTGTGTAGCAATAAAAACATTTATTATTATTATTATTTGGACGTCCACTGCATTCTGCATCATCGGTATCTCAGACCACGTTTGATGTCAGCAAATCAACCTGTAATTGTTGTTTCTGATGAAGCGGAGTCCTTATAACACTTTTCAAGCCATTGCTTTACTTGAACGGTACTTTTTTCCCATCAAGAAGCAGTGTGAAATCACAGCACGCAATTGTGGTGTCACTCTTATGACAATAACTCACAATCTTATTATAGAATATCGTGCTTTCTTCTGAAAAACTGAACAGAAAAAGCGTTGAAGATAAGCGCCATCTATATGTGAGGTTCGAGACTTTCCAGCCCAGCTAGTATTAATTCAATACTAGTACAATACAGAATTATATCTAATATATTATAATGATATTTAGTGAGTTGTTATTTATCATTCATTTTTACATTTGTACATTAGTTAGAACGTTCAAGTGAAGGCTTGTTTTTGAAAATATTGTTTTACTATTATTTCATGATTTACCTCTCGTTTTCAGGGGTTGCAAATTATATACAATATCGGTGAGTTTACTTGAGTTCCTTTGATAGGCACAAAATCCTTTCAAGTAATAATTACGTTTTGGAATACCATGAGCCGTCATTTTCCTTGGGGCGCAGACCTGTAGAAGATAAACAAAAATTGTAATGTGTACATAATCCACAGTCGATTTTCTGGGAGAGGCGCCACCCACTATTTCCACAGTAGAGTCAGTCAACAATGCCGGAAATAAGAGAGCCCGAACACGAGCCACATTTTGTGGTCGGATCGACCACACTTGCAGTCGCGTTCCAGCGAACTCAATCCGCCCATAAGAAATACTGTATTACACGTACACGGACGTTCACAAAAGTCAAAACGGGCGTCTGCTGTCAACTTGCTGCTGATCTCCGCGGAGATGTCATCGCGGCATCCGCCGTACACGAACCACAAACTTGCAGTCGTACCCAACCGCGTACACCGTCGTGTACTTTTTTTCATATTGGTCTCACAGCATTCAATTTTTGATTTCAAATTCTAATAAATTCATCAAAAGAAATAATGGACATTCTGAAGTAATTAAAATTTTTTTTCGTCTTTTTCGCGGAGTTTACCGGTTGCCGCTTATATGCTATTTTATTGTAATTTCACTTTTTTGCTTACTGAAATTGTTTTTCAACCTAATCTTTTTAATTCCTTCACAGATTCTGTCAGGGATTTCAAATCAATTTATATCATATTAGACAATGTGAGTCCGAACTGATGAAATGCACAACGAAACATTGTCAACCACCTTCAAACAAAATATAAAAATTTCCTTCCTGTTTTCGCACAACCAGAATTGGATGTACCCAAAGCGATCGTAACTTCATATGTCTTCTTCTTCTCCTCAAAATAAGAAGTAGTAGTGCTTCTTCTTCTAAATCCATATTGAAACTGGCACTAAACTCTGACACCACAAAATATAGATGTCAGTTGCTTTAACTGCAAGTACGCTTTATATGACCGCAAGCCGACCACAAAAATGTGGTTGGGTCAACCGCGAAGTGCAGTCAACGTGGCCACAATGTTGTGGTTGCCTCAACTGCAAATATGTAGTCCGTGTACGGCCGGACTTACTCACCAGTAAGTCCACACCAGTGTTTTCCAAACTTTTCAACCAGTCTTACAGTCCTTCTTGTTGGAAAATTGTTCGTCTTCAGCCTATTCCTAAAAAGGGCAAGAAAAACCTTCAAAATAACTACAGACCTGTCGTTTTGCTAACAGTGATATCAAAAATAATGGAGAAATCCGTAAACCACCATATTCCCAAATATTTGGAAGGCTTCAATATCTTGAGCGATCATGAATATGGCTTTCGGAAACAAAGATCAACAGGCGACTTTCTATCGTATGTCACCATATTTGGAATAACGCAATCGAGAAACCTGGGGATATTTTAAGGCCTCTGACCGTGTGTGGCATGAGGGTTTCCTGGTCAAACTTTGTTGCTTCCTGAAAGAACATTCCCTGCAAGTGGTCGTCGATGGATATCTCTCGAATACCATCAACGCTGGTGTTTCCCAGGGATCTATATTGTCTCCAACCCTATCTATTGTACATCAACGACTCATTGGAAAAAACCAATAATCCAATATATTTCTTTGTTGACGGGAGCACAGTTGTTTCGTCATTCCATCTGCGGTGGATACACATCTTCACCGGCAGCAGGAGGTTGCATATCTAAATGAGGATCTGGATGCCACAAAAACCCAGGCATCGGTTCTTTTTAAAAATGTCTCCAAGCCAGATATTTTATTGTCAGATCAGACAATTCCACCTTCTGCTTCGATAAATTTGTTGGGTGTTAAAGCGAACACCAATATGTCTTGGCACAATCATGTCGCTGTAATTGAGGAAGCCGCTTCTCAAAAATTTAGAACACTGTTTCGAACCAGAAAAATGTACACACCTCTACAACTTTTGATGCTTTATGAAGCTCAGATCACACCTGTTTTGGAGTATTGTTCTCATGTACGGAGATCCACCCCTAAGTATACCCTGAAGCTGCTGGATTCCATCCAGAAAAGAGTCATCCGTCTGATTGACGCGAACATCACTTGCAATCTCAACAGTCTGGAACATCTAAGGAAGGTAGGAGATTTTTTCTCTTCTATAGATACTTTCACGGAAAGTGCTCAAGTGACACACTTGATTCCACCAAGAGCGGTACATATAAAAAATACGCGATGGACTGTGGCTGCTCATCGTTTTGAGATTCAACTCAGTACACCTCGAACTTCGCTGTTCAAGAACTCTTTCATTTAGAGAACCGCGTTTATGTGGAATAAACTTTCTGGAACGTTTCTTCAAATGAATTTGATCTCCAGCTGTTAAAATCCAATATGAATGACTACTTTCGCACAGGCGAAAGGATTAAGGATTTTCTTATAGTGCTTGTGTTTTGTTCTTAAAAAAACGTGAACTGCACAAGCTGAGTTCATTTCTGACTTCGAGAAATATCAACAAAGTTTATGTCATGTAACGAATGAATTTTTCTATTATTGTTTCATCGTTTTTTCGTGATTGTTGGATATTCGAATACTCAATTACACGGTGGTCAACAATTCCGCGAAAAAACAAAATATAACCAAACAACAATGAACGCAAAAAATAGTCTTGGGGAAGCCACCTATAAAACCACTGTTTTTTTTTCATAAAAATCAGGACATGGCTTATAGAACAAATAATAATTTAGGTGAATTTATTAAAAACAATAAAGACAAAACTTCAGTGTCGGATAGATCAGGAGTAGATCAGCTGACTTGTGGCTCTTGCGCAAAACTTCATATTGGCCAAACGGGGAGAACTGTTTTCCAGAGAATTAAAAAAGATAAAAGTATTTTTTTGAATGAAAAGATCAATTCTACATTTGCAAACCATCTTTCAGCAGCATGACATGAGTCCAATCACAACTTTATGACATGTTACATTAAGAAGATAAAGGTTTGAAACTCAATCTTTCAGAATGTTTATAAATAAATGGATTCGAAAATCCGGGTCATATACTCGGTGACCAAAAAAAATTGAACAACTTCCCGTTACTGAATATTCTCTCAAGGAACAAAAAGAACACCGAAAAACGTATTCAAAGTCAACACTTGCTTCAGAAACGTAACTGATTATAAGCCTCAAGTCTGAATATCCGTTCAATCAGTGACTACGACTTCAACCGATGATCAGCATCATCCACGGGATGGACCGACGCCGCTTATTTTTGAACGGTCGCCAGCCCTGATCATCTGTGCTTTGTGAAACGGGTTTAGAAGCATTCGATTAGTTCACAACTTTCATTTCCGGTAATAAAATATTTGATTCAAAACAATTCAATGCAGATAATACTCACAATGAACGACTGTCCTTTGGTTTCATCACCATCAAGAGCCGCTCCCAAGAAGTTTCCATTTTTTGTTCCCCAATTACCTGTAAAAATAGTTACATATTCATTTTATGATTTAGGTATGCATTTTGAACAAATTATTCAAGAAGAACTGAAATAATTCAAAAACGTTGATGGTTTGACTAAATTTTTTTGCCGAAATAAGTGGATGGTATATTCAGGCTGCCCGCAATGCGGACTGCTTGCAAAAGCGTCACTTCAATTTGGTAACTTCAGCAAAATTTTGTAAGCTATTTTCCAAATCTGTTGACCGAAGGTTGCAGGTTTTTACGCTCGGAGTTTCATCTACTGCGACAGGCAAACCACTACCATGAAGAAAGTCAATTAACATCAAAGAATACACATAGAGACAATTTTAACCCAAAAGAAGAGGAAATCAACATTAGGCATTGCTACCTATACTAGAATGCAACCAATAGGACCGAAGCTACGCTCTCCACCTGAATAATGAAACTGAACATCGAACTATGTAGTACGAACTGTGAGGACAACATTTTCAGTTTGAGTTTTCCTATTATAAACCGCCAATGTATTTTGGGGAAGTTGGACTGAAGTTGAATATCGTATTCGAAAATAGCTACTGCAGTTGTGGATAAAACTCCTTACTGAAAACCTGCGGATCACGGCCAAGTAACCAGGAAAATAGCTTTGATATCGATGAATCCGGTCATGAAAGTTTACACTCCTGTGATCATAGGAACAATAGAACTCTTCTATTATGAGCGAGGTGATCAGAACTCTGTCACATAGTAGGAATCCATTAAAAAGAATACCCTAATTGAGGCCACAGAGAAACCTTCACTTCTGTGGCTACATGGGAGCAAGATAATGACAACATGACAACATCGAAATCCTCAGTTTATCACAGTATATACCTTTTCCTTCCTCAAGTTGAATGTGATGATGTAGAAGACATGGAGATTCATGAAGGCCTGTCATAATGATGTGTTCACATCTTGCTGTGCTGTATTCATTCGATGGGTGTTGGGGTTTCTACATCAGATCCAAGTCCGACTTCGATAAATCTGCCTTGCAATAAGTTCCAGAGCAGCAGAATTAGTGTCTGTACATCAGATGAAGGAACAATTCCTCCTGGGCAGTTCAGCAAACGTTACTCTCGAAATATGATTCACATAAACCAGAGGAAAAAAAGCTTCCATGGTCGAATCTAATACTTGGTGATGATAATCTTGCACCTTGAATGTTCAATAACTTCAATATCGATCAATGAACTACAATGTCTTCAGTATGCCGTTATAGCTGCCATTAAGTATATTCCAGAAGATGGTCTTGAGGTTCTAGCGACTAAGTTCAAAATGCTGACATGTGCTACTCCAATTCAGCTCAGCGCTATTTCCCATCTCAGCTACACTATATTCGTATCTTCATATATAAATAGTAGTTTATACAATTTTTTCCTGAAAACACCAAATAGTCTTGTCAGGAAAGTGTTGTAGTGCTGGCAAAATGGTTGAGGCTTTCGCGGCCAAGGTTATCAGTGTCACCATTTCTCGGGTATGAAGGCCGTCAATTTTTGGAAATTTCTCCTGAAGTTTCGCTGGTGTCAGTAGCTAGCTTCTGGATATTACTGCTGCATAAGGCGTATGTATGTTGACTCAGGTAGTGCTAATCTGTATCTGTAGAGTATGGAGGGTGAGTGTAGGCCCACAGCACTAAGGCCACATGTGATCCATTGTACATCCTCCCAAGGAGTTGTCATTGTACAACCTATCAACCATACAAGTCATTGTACAACCTATCCTTTCCAGGAATGTGGACAGGTCTCTGGAAGACATTTTCTTTATATCGACAGGTGTAGGCCAAGACTCGCCGAACACACACTCTCTTATTGACGATAACTCTCATAGGACATACTCGAGAGTTTCATCATCCTGTTCACACATCCTGCATAGAGGTGTGTCTTCTAGGCTCATATTGTGCAGGAGTTTCCTTAGTCAACAGTGGCCAGTCAGAAATCCAACTCTTAAGCGTAGATTTTCCTTGTCATCGACAGATATTTTTTCGGCGCCAGCTTCCCACGGTCGCTCAGGGTGATCCTGGCAAGATTGCATCCTTTGATTTCATCCCATCTCTTTAGGGATTGAGCATAGGTGTGACATTTGGCTAGTTCCGCAAGTTTCGAAGTCATCAGGACGTAGGTGCCACTGGGTCCTGAAATTCTTAGTCCAGCCGCTTTCTTGGCCGCTTGGTGTGCTAATACCTGTACCTGGATTAGGTACACTGGCAATAATATTCGTCGAACCTTTTCTACCTGTCGTCATGCTGTTTGCCATTCTTGAACTTTTTAGAATGGGATTCCATATTCGATTGAGATTCACAGCTTTTTTTTTCTGTGGATCTCTATCGCCTTCCGTACCAGTCGCTTATGGTATCCCTGGTCGGGGGCAATAAGATACTGGGTCTCTCTCGTCTTTTGCCGACCTGAGACTTTACTGTATCTTTTGGTGAGTTCCCAGGAGTTTTCCAATTCTGTCTGGGACCCTGGGGATACATGGTAGATACGCACGTGCAACCATCTGAGCCTCATCCCTGTTTTGAACCTTGGAATTCCTCAACTCCTCAGTTTCATGACCTTGTTAATCTCGGATATCCATTCAATCCCAAGGACACTTGAAAACGTTCCACGTCTTCCTCTAGATGCTCTGTTCCACATATACTTCGAAGCCGTTCAGTTAGTTCACAAAAATAGTTCAATTGTCCTAAACCAACTTAAGAATATGAAACAATTACTATCATAACTGTCAAAGAGAAATCGAGGTGATCCGAAGTGGAAATCTGTCTACGAGAAAGACATTTTTTTCGTTTGCGAATTTTCCTGAAATAGTATCTGTAACAGAAACATCAATAGTATTGGCATAACTTACTTGTGGTTATATTATATTTATGGCAACCCTCGCTGTTCATTGCATCGCATGCATATATGGCACCTCCACTTCTTTTGTCATTTTTTGGAGCCCCAACTATAACTCTGAAATTTAAAAAATGCCATCCATCATCCACCCTTCTGGAAAAAACGGGAAAAAATGTTTTTCTGTAACCATACAAATTTTGCACAAGTGGTCTATTATTTGGTTCCTTGTTAAGTAACTATTGAACTCCCATTCTCAATATTCTCTCAATACGATCAGCATTAAACACCACAATGAAATTGTTTTTCATTTTCATTCATACCTATCAGACATACTCTAGTCAAACGCACACTACATTCATAATCATAGACAAAATTGAAATGAATAGAGTTTGAAAAACTAAAAAACACCCTTTTTTAAATAACATTGAAGTAAAAAGTGTATTATTTTGATAATACTAGAATTTTTGGTTCGTTATTGTTCTGAGCTTATTTAAAAAAATATTTTTAACTTTTTAGTTCGATGTTTTTTTAAAGCGTGTTTTTTAGTTTTTTAAACTATATTTATTTTTCATTTTTCAGTTTCGTATGCTATAAAAGTGTGTTTTTCAGTCTTTTTTAAACTATATTTATTTTATCTAAACTTTGGGATCAATCAGCCGTATATTGTTTAGAAAAATGACCATGGATATTTTCCGATTCCGAAGAGGGAGCCTAAAAATCAGCTACCAAGCCCAATGCAGCAGGCGCGCAAAGGAGGGTCACGAAAAAGACAGCAGGCGCGAGTGTTGATGAAAAAAATACTTTTTTCAAATACATGTAAAGTGAGTTCGAATTATATTCAGGAGGTTACTTATAGCGCCATCTGCCCGCGAATTGATCAAGCAATTGTAGATATATTGAAGGGGTTACGTACAGCGCCATCTGCCCGTGAATAGATCAAGCAATAATGTCAGTAATTCTGTCAAATACAGATCCCGAGCTTGAGAGTTACAAACAAATAAACATATATACATACAGGTGAAGCTAATATGAAGCGTGTAATAAAAACGAACGAAATGTTACGGAATGCTGCCTTCTCGACAAAAAAATCTATGTAAACTCTATTAACTTGAAGATTACTTCAATTTATTGGAAGCGCCTATTGGAAGTCGAATAATATCGCCAGCCAAAAATTGTGTATTCGGGATTCGATGAAGTCGACGAAGGCCGTTTTTGACTGGTCCTGATTGACAAATGTTCAACCGGTGAGAAAGTTAATGAATTGCCCGAGAAGATGGTAGTTGTTTGGTTACAGGTCTGGGTAGTATGGGTGGGCGAGGTAGAACTTCGTCGCTCAATTCTATTGCTTTTGGGACGGTGATTTGTGGAAAATGCAGATGAGCGTTGAAGAGCAGGACCGAACCTCTTCTGTTGACCTGTACCAGCTGCTGCTGACACATTTCGTCGATTTCCTTACAATAGGACTCTGCTGTGTTGGTTTGGCCCGGCTGCAGAAAGTTATAGTAAATTACACCACCTGCTGACCAGCTGCTGATGAGTTTTCCCATTCCAAGAGTGTCTGGGTAGCCAATTACTGTCCTGAACATGGTCTGTTGTCATGGAGGAGGATCCATCCTTCATCACACGTGCCGATCCATTCCAGAAAAGGATCGTTTTCGTTGCGCAAAACCAAAAAAAAACAGACCTCGAAACGATACACCTTCTGTTGATCGTTCAAATCGTGGGGCAACCCCATGTAGCTTTTTGACCTTTCCAATAACCATTTACAAATTTTTAATCAATCAATCAATACTTTATTTTTCTAAGACATTTCACAAGCATGGAAATCGTCACATACAACATATAAAAGTAGGAGTAAAAAAATTAAGTGATAAAATATGAAATATAAGTATATGGAATATACATATACTATTTATTCAGTAGAAATTGATATAGAATAAAGAAAATAACGTTTGTCTACTTTCTACTAAGTTTATTATTTGTTACGATTGGTCGTAAACTCCAAACATCACCAGAAGATGGGAAATGAGATTCTGCGTGAGAATAATCTTTATGAGAATAAAATACACAGAATACGGAACCGAACCCGAGGCAGTTGAAGGACAGTATTCGCTGACCAGTTGAGAAAAAACATAGGAACTATCTTTGGGTGATCAGCAGAACGGAAGTGTACTCTTACAACATAAGTTATTCCAATATTTCGATGAAGTTTATTATCATTTCCAAAAAAGAGCTACAAAAAGTGATGATAATACAATATTATAAAATTTTTATCAAAGGCTCAACTTTTGTTCGTGAGGATAGCCGTGTTACATTCAAACAATTGAAGCATGTCAATAAAATAAAACAAGTCTCTACATTGAAAGAGTTTGACGCCTCACTGACATGAAGAAGATTATTTAAATTTATATAAAAATATCGTTATTTGATTTAAAATTATAAACTGAAGACCACAGAGAGAGACAACAAAATAATTGACACTGACAGCTGTCATGTGATTCTGTTCGAAAAAGTTGTGTTTGTATGTCCATGTTGAAACTACGGAACAAAAGAGAACAATTATGGTGCAAGTGTGATCAGAGTCATCTGCTGTTTTATGAGATTATCTATGAGAAAACCCAATATCATGCATTATGAAGAAGTAAAACCCTGCCATAGGGAGGTTGGAAATTTGTTGCAAATTATTAGAAATTGTTATGTGTTAATAAATTCATTAAAGAAGAAAGTAATATAAATCATGAAATTATGGAACAACAAAAATTTATTGCCGCTCCGGGACGACTTCATTGAGTCCAGTGGCGCATTTGCTTTTTCAGCTGCAGGAAAACCCGGAAAAATCTGCGGCATTACATCATCTGAAGATCTTGATTATTACTGATTTGAAAACCATGCTGATTTTCATCAATACTCAGTAGAAAGGCATAAATTTTACTGAGGTGAGCAATGTCTGATCTTCTGTTAAGGCAATTATTTGATTGTAATATAAATGTGTTTCTTTCAATCGCTAAGATTTTGGTTGAATTATAGTCCATAGTATGACCTTCTTTAAAAACATGATTGCTGAGAGCACATCTCTCAGGATTTAATCTACTATCACTTTTATGTGAAGTAATTCTATCTTTGAGTAGTCTTGACGTTTGACCAATATATGCATTACTAAAATTCAAACATGGCATGAAATAGGCAGAGATGGCTTTCTTATCGTAAGATCATCTTTTTCATATGAAACCACGGAATCTGTTCAGCCCATGAACATTTCATGGTGATATTGAACCCCTAAAACTCCCCAAACTTTTTTATGCGTTAGAGTTGAAATAATATTGTGCAGACTCTTTTTCATCATCCTGTAAAAATTTATTAGTTGACCGTTCAACACTTGATGATGATGAAAATCAAACTTCCTATTACAAAGGTTTATACGTTTGTAGAGGTCGCAGTTAAGCGGAAACTTGAAATTTCAGAATAACTTCGATTAAAGTATGTCTTTTGTGAATCATATTGTTGCTACTATCTGTCAGTGTCCGGATGTATACTCGTAAATATAAACTTTGAGAGGGCCCTATTTCTCACTAATATTTGCAACATCAAACAAGGACATATTTTTCAATGCCTTCTTTCAATTTTTGTCTATTCCGAGAAAACTAAAATTCATTACTTACATTGGATTGGATCCTTTTTGTAACAACAAAGAATAACCAAAATAGGTGTTTGGTACTCCATCACTCAAACTAAATTCTTTAACAGTATTTATGTCGAAATTCAAACAACTGACGCACAAAATGTCGAGGAAAAGGAATATCAGCAACTCCATTTCTACACTTCGAACACAAATGCCGTGTCAGTAGTCTCGACAATGTAGTTTATTTTTAAGTAAACTCAATTGCATATCGGGAAAAGACTGATAAAGCGTTGGAATGCTTCCACACCGGAAAAACGATTCATCATTTTGACTCAATGGGTGTGATTGATTACGAGGGATATAAGTAAAATAAGTATTGGGAATTTCTTGAGATGAAGTTTAGATATCGAATAGAAAGTGGTTAGAATTGATGAAGTCATGATTCATTAATGTAATATATGAAGGAGCTTCCTATTCATCGAAATTGAAATCAACAAAACTGAATAGAACATTAGGTATTTATTTGTATAATTTACTTTCCACCATACTTTTTATTGATACTCTTGACACTTTAGAAAGAGTCCTGATTGAAGTAAGAAAACGTAAATAGGCACTAATGGCAAATTTAAAATGGAAATGTTTCAGTCAGTTCTTTGGTTTTGGCAATAACAAAAGTCAATAATACTTTTCGTAAACCGTCACTTACAGATAATTATCATTTATAGTACAACACGAAGTTGAAGCATTCAACAGCATAATCCACAGACTAGTGAATGTTATTTTGTATGATGTGATTTTTAGTGAAGAACCATCTAATAAAAAAACAATGGTTATGACATCAATGTATTGGATTATTTTCTCTCTAAAACACTATACAGTCTAGCCACGGAGGAAGAACTCCCGATTCCAAGAGATGAGGGAAAATTTTATAGAACGTCAACAGATTTGTGCCAATCTAGTTTCAAAATTTCTAACTTCCTAAAGAACCAATAATGAGTTGAGCATACATATGAAATAACAAAGACGAGAATTAGGTAGATCATGATTCTATAAATTGTCTTGTGGTTCATGTCCGGTGTTTTACATCGGTCAAACCACAAAAACCCCTAAAACTTTCTCAAAAGAACATAGTTTTTAGAGAGAAAAAAGAAATTCAACTTGTACTACTCATCTCCTCAAAAAGGGACATGCATAGTTCCAAAACTTTTCATTTTCAAAATAAATATTTGAAAGTTGACCTGGAAAGTATGGATATTGATGATTCTTACCACGTAATCATGCTTTGTGGCCCTCGAAAAAATCATATGTAATATTTATCAATCGACTGACTTGTTTTTCACGGAACATTTCAACCTATATTCATCTGCCTTCGCTGGTTGATGAAATTCCTCAAGTGATTAAAATTAGAACTATAACTATCTGATCGAACCGCAGTTTATAATATGAAATGCTTCTAAAAGAAGGTAATCAAATCCTGCTTGTCCAAAGGTTTCTTCTACAATTTTTTGAGTTTTTATTACATTTGTCCACGTTTTGAATGATCAAAATATTTTCTGATGTATTTCCATTTGAATCTTAGAATATCACACACTCCTCGTAGTTCTTATCTTCGCTGACAACTTACGTAGATTGTGTTCCTTTCACAGTGATGAAAATGTTGATGCACACTTTTATCAGTATGGATTTTCCAAACCCGTAATGTGTAGATAATAATATTAATACTGCATCAGCAATCTGAACTAACTCAAGGTAGTGATTCAGATTTGTCAATTTGAATATAATTATTAATTCAAAATGGTTTGAACTTCATTTACTTACTCATGAGTATTGTTAATTTTTTATTCTTTTTCCTATTGCAATTCCACATATACATATGATTAGCTTGACTGTTAGGTGCCATTTTATACTGACGATACACTATGAAAACACACTTTAGTCTGTTTTCCACGGTAGTTTTATATTTGTTGACTAATTTCGGTCATTACACCATTTTGAAAACTAACTAGATTACATCCAAATTTGAGTATGTATACCTATATTGCCTATACCTACCATAAATAATTTGATGCCTACATTGTCTACACCTGGGATAACCTCAATTAATAGCAATATATCGATGAACATAACAAAAAAAATTGATGAAACGTAGGTTTTAGGAACTGGGTAATATGTTCAGGAGAGGAATATTGTTTAAATCAAGTTGTTGGTTGAGGATAATAGAATTGGGATTTTTCTTTGACTTGTTTATATCCATAGATTCCAACAAATTCATTTTAATTTTCCCTTTTTTGCAGGAGGATTTTTAAATAAGTGTTATCTATATTGTGTTTCGAAATTTGAAGATGTTCATACATTATTTTTTTTTGACTGATGCAACTAATTTTCCTTCATTTTCAGTATTTCAATATTAAATTTTCCAAAAAGTATTTGAAGCTTTATATCTTCTAATAATTATCTGCGAGCGCTTTCGACAGCTGGTCGTACTGTCATCTTCTAGGCACTCCTCAAACTGAACTTGTCATCCTGTCGTCTGCCTCTTTATACGGTCCGAACGTCTTAACTCAGGTATTTCAGGTACTATAGGTAAATTTGCCTGTATTTGTATTTGTATTTGCCTACATCAGGTACTATTCTTTGTGTTATATCTTCTCAAGGAATGTGTATGGTTTTGTTTAATATATTGAAACACAACAAGACCTCACATTCAATATATTATACAAAACCATACACATTCCTGGAGAAGATGTAACACAAAGAATAGTACCTGATGCAGTACAAATACAGGCAAATTTACCTAAAGTACCTGAAATACCTGAGTTGAGACGTTCGGACCGTATAAAGAGGCAGACGACAGGATGACAAGTTCAGTTTGAGGAGTGCCTAGAAGATGACAGTACGACCAGCTGTCGAAAGCGCTCGTAGATAATTAATAGACGATATAAAGCTTCAAATCCTTTTTGTGAAATTTAATATTGAAATATTAATAATTTTTTATCCGAAATGACATGTTCCTGGTACCTTATATCAAAATTTCTACCAGTTTGGCCTGTATATATGGCGGGGCATTCACCACATTCTAGTCAATATATACCAGATCTCTTCCCTTTGTCTAATTTAGGTTTGGCATTGAATAATATGTTTCCTGAATTTCCGTTGGATGTGTAGAATATTTGTAGACTGAATTCTGAAAGAAATTTTCAATATTCTCGAAGATTCTACCTGCATAATTGATAGTAACATATTTCTGTTCTGGTCTTGTGTGAATTGAATATAGTCGTTAATGTCGTTAACTGGAGTAATAAGTATTTTGTTATTAACTGGTATTTGTTTAATAATTGCGATTTCACTTCGGAGGTTTTGATCAGAATGAGGTATTGTGAAAGCCCTATATTTCATTGACCTGAACGCAGACAATTTCTGTGAAATCGGTTTGAAAGAGTCAAAAGGTATTGTGCAATCTGTGATGTGTTTTTTCTGGAAATAAAGTCAAATTCATCATCGTTTTTGGATATCGTCAGATCTAAAAAATTTATCTCATTGTTCTCTTCTATCTCTACGGTGGATTTGATTTTATCGTGTAGTCTACTGAGGAATTTCAAGTAATGAGTTATTCGTCTCGTTGATCCATGGAAGCCTACTAAAATTTTACTAAATATCTAAACCAGAACACAATATGTTTATGTGAAAGAAAGTTATTTGAAATGAGATTGTTCTTTAAATTATTTGAGAAGATTTCCGCTAGTAGATAACGGAATTAACGGTGATCCCGTCAGTAGGACTTAGTTTTACCAAATTCTATCATCGTGAAAAATCCACTTGATATAAACAATAGTCCTATCCTGAACCTATAACCCAGTTCCCAAAACCTACATTTTATCAAAATTTTTTGTTATGTTCATCGATATACTGCTATTAATTGAGATTATTCCAGGTATAGGCAATGAAGGTATAAATACTCAGATTTGAATGCAATCTATAGTTAGTTTTGAAAATGGCGTGATGACCGAAAATATCCAACAAATATAAAACTATCGTAGAAAATAAACAAAACTGTAATCAAATCATCTAAAAGAACAATTCGTTCAGGCCAGTCTCAATACCCTACATGGTAGGTTAATGGACTGACACCTATCAGAAAACAACTACTCCCCTGGTTGATACCACGAAGGGCGTTGGATTATATCCGACAGGTGTCAGTGCAGGATTCTTCACTGAAGTTATTCCTGCATATGCTGTAAATCGAATTCCGTCAGAGTATCATTCCTCGAACTAAGCTGAAGACTACAACAAACAACAGGTTTGTCGTCGCTCCATCTGCCTGTGAACGAGGCAGATGGAGCGCCAACAGCATATGCAGGAATAACTTCAGTGAAGAATCCTGCACTGACACCTGTCGGATATAATCCAACGCCCTTCGTGGTATTAGCCAGGGGAGTAGTTGTTTTCTGATAGGTGTCAGTCCATTAACCTACTGTGTAGGGTGTTGAGGCTGGCCTGAACGAATTGTTCTTTTAGATGATTTGATTTATAGCCAGTCTTCAAGTATGCCCACTGACTATACGTGAAACAAAACTGTGATTTTATAGTGTATCCTCAGTAAAGATGAATTTTTACAAAATAAACAAGTCGTCAATCACAGAAGAACCATTTTATAGTATTGTGAGATCTCATTGGCATCACTATAATGGTCAGAACAAGAAATTCTGTCAAACACTTTCTGTGTCTTGTCAATAATATCCGACAACCTGTTGAGTTCATTCAATACCTTGTTACATATTATCTGTGCAAGCATCACATTCTATCCTAAAAATAGTACATAACATTTATATGTTTTTAACCAATTTCAATCTTGACATAAAAATATGAGGATCCTATTCGTTACTCTTTTGCAAACTTCATTTCAACCTCACTTTCGTAAGTATAAACACGTTGTCCATATCTTTTGATAATTATGTCAAGGTGCTGGAAAATAATTCCATATATAGATTTCAATTTAAGAGGCACCGGCGGACAGCTGTTTCAGCCTGTTGGGCATCGTCTGCACCAGGCAGGCAGTTCACGATTGAAGACAAAATGTGAATAACCAAGAAGAGTACTTGATAAAAATAACTGCGTAAACGAAAGCAAGATATGAGTGGAACCACCTATTGGTGTGATACCCAAGTCAACTCGCCGAATTTGTATGTCAGTGTTGGTGGTTTGACCAATCAACTAACAACTGGAGTAGTGGAAATTTGGGAAGCCATTCTGGAATGCCATCGGAAAACAAATCCACATCTTTCTAGAAATGACCTTGTTCGAGTCTAATAATTACTATGGATGTTGA